CGGAATGCTTGTCTGTTCTTAAAGTGAAATGCACATGTCTGTGTTTTAGATGGATTAGGGATCAGCTGGTTTTTCCTGTAATAGGCAGTAAGAGCATCTAGAGCTTCGGATAACTTCTGTTCAACCATCTCAAAGTTCCCTGCTTGAGCAGTAATGGCACGATTATCAGCATAGATGAAACTCTCTGTCCCTTCTGGCAGTGGCTGGTTATTTGTGTAAATGTTGAACATGGATGGAGAAAGCATGCTCCCCTGAGGCAGGCCGTTCTTCTGTTTCCGCCATCTGCTTCTCTGGCCCTGGAACTCAACAAAGAAGCTCCTGTTTTGTAGCAGGTTTCCTATGAGGCGGGTGAGATGGTAATCCTTTGTGATATTATACATTTTTCTCAGGAGGAGGCAGTGGTTTACAGTATCATAAGCCGCTGACAGGTCTATGAAAACCGCTCTGGTGATCTGCTGCCTTTCAAAGCCATCTTCTATGTGCTGAGTCAGGTTCAGCACTTGCGATGTGCAGCTTTTGTCTTTCCTGAAGCCAGCTTGCTGTGGAATGGGTCTGTTTTTTCAATAATTCTATGAAAGATAAGTCTCTCCAGAACTTTGTAGAGGTGGCACAACAGGGAGATTGGTCTATAGCTTTTGGATCATTACGGTCTTTGCCTGGCTTCAAGATGTCGATGACTTGCTTTCCTCCAGATTTTGGGGATCTGACAAGATGCAGTGCAGTTGTTCCTCAGTTCTAGCAATCAGCGCCTTGCTTTTGGGCCAAAGTTCTTGATTTGTTCCATCCGTAGATCATCCAGGCCAGCTGCTTTGCCATTTTTACATTTATTGAGAACCATGTCCAATTCAGTAGATGTAAAGGGTACATGAAGGTTGTTGTTCTCAATCTCGGATTGTCTGGCTATTGGTTTCTTTCGTACTTTGGTGGCAATGTTGGGTTTCCCATTCTTCAAGAGTTGGTGTGCTATCTGATCTGCCTTTATGTTGGCATGGGTATTAGTTTGTGAGGGGTCATTGCTCAGCCGTCTTAGCAGCCTCTACGCCTTCTGGCTGCTCCTGCCCATGCCGACCTCTGTGATCAGCTTTATCCACTGTTCTTTCTTGGCTTGTGTAGATGCTCAAGTCTCATTGTAAACATTGGAATGATAAAATGCTTTTGAGATTTGTTTAAAATATATTCAAGCCAGTGATGGTGGAATTCATGGATGCAGAATCTGTGGATATGAAGACTCATTTGTATTATATTCCCTGCTGTCTTGATATTTAAATTCTGCAGCAACATGCCCTTTGTGTTTTCAGAATTACGGAACATAGTAAGGTTTATGTTTGGGTTGCTTTACTTCCTGTCTTGAAAATAATTGATTATGTGAATAGAGGTGAGGCAGTCAATATTATATTAGGCATTTGATTGTTACCTAGGTTGCAAAATCCGAGATTCTGTTTTTATACAGAATAACTATGTTATTGCCACCTCAGCCATTGCAATGAATGTACAGTAATCTTGCTGACGAATGTCTTTGGGTTGTTGTAAAGAGTGCTGAGAAAATGTTTTCAAGCTGTTTAAAATACTTTGTTAATTGTTTTTACAATTGTGGTTTGTTATAAACTTTACATCTCATAGAAGTTACAAAGGCTGAGTTCCAATTTATCTGCATAGGTAGTTTCTTGAAACTGAATCATTTTTAATAAACTGCATAAATGTAACAGCTTCCCTTGTTGTCGTAGAAATTTTCACAATGCAGTTGAAGACCCTGCTTGAGTGGTGTTCTGACAAATTGTACAATCAAATAGAGTAACTCTTTGCAATGGTAATGCTTTCTGTGTTATGTTTCAGAAAACTATTCCAATGTAATTTAGATATCTTTTATGTACTTACTTTTTTGCCCCATCTCTCTCTGTAACTCTTTTCATATGTTTCTAAGTCCAACATGAAATGCAATTCCATGTAGAAATTTATATGCCATAAATGCAAAATTTGTATATGTGTCAGGTTTATTTTGTTATTGCTTCTTTTTGTTTCATAAAAAGCTGTTTTATAAATCCTGTTCAGATTACTTAAATATATGAGAAGGAAGGCATGGATCCAAGTGTTCATTATGAAATCTAAAAGAATCTGACACAAACAAAACCCTAAAAATGCAAAGCTTCTCATTCACAGAGTGAACCCTTTGGAGCTCTTCAAACTCAATAATGAACTCGCAGAAGTCAAATGTACACAGTCCTGTTCATTTCTTATCATACAATTCTTAACATCTAAAAAGATGTTGGGGCTTAACATACAACATTTAAAAAGATGTTGGGGCTCATCTACACTGACCACTTTGGTCAACATGCACAGGGCAAGGCCACCTTATCAGAATACACCTTTGATAGTTATAGGAGAGAGAGAAAGGGTGCATCTGTTGTAGAAGTAATATAGCTTAAAAATAAAGGTTTCCCCTTGATGTTAAGTCTTGTCGTGTCCGACTCTGGTGGGTGGTGCTCATCTCCATTTCTAAGCTGAAGAGCCGGAGGTCCGTAGATACCCACAAGGCCATGTAGCCCGCATGCCTGCATGGAGTACTGTTACCTTCCTGCCAAAGCCGTACCTATTGATCTACCCAGATTTGTATGTTTTCAAACTTTTTGGGTGGCAGAGGCTGGGGATAACAGTGGGAGATCACCTGCTCCCTGGATTCAAACTGCCAACTTTTTGGTGACCACGTTCCGCAGCTCAGCGGTTTAACTCGTACCAGTTAAAGTGGTGTCAAACTATTCTGCCATATAGATGTACCCAAAGTCAGAATCGTTTCCTGTGAATCAATTCTCCAAGGGTTTCAGTGAGCTATTTCCTACATTTAGTACTCATGGCTTATGGTAAACTAGGCTTTTGGGGGTATTTTGGTTATAAATTACATAAGATTGTGTTTTTCACTGAAAATCTAGGGGAATGAGTATGTGGCCTCTGCACACAAATCATTTTGGCTGCAATTCGACTATATACAGGATGTTTTTAAAAGTTGGGCATGATTGGAAATCACTATATCTCTTCAACCAAGAACAATCCATTAATGAAAGAGTGGAGCATAAAGTTTCAAGTGATTCCCAAAGAGCGATCCTACAACTTAAGGCCTAATGAAACATTCTCCACTAGTGGGGTACTTTTTTAGATTTTTTTCTGGTTCAAAATGTTTAGTATAACTTGATAACTCATTAAACTTTTTGTGTAATAATAAAATGTTGCCATTGTGAAATATACTGCTTTGAAATTGGGTCCATCATTTTAAAACACCATGTACTTCATAGCTTTCCAGCATTTGTACATGAGTGAAAAATTCAAAACCTGTAATAATGAGTTACTATTAACAGAATTATTTGCAATATACAACTTTTTGGTCTAGCAAAGATAGAAAATGGTACATTTCAAAAGCACTATGTTCAATGGAAACAAATTTATTTTAGTGTTATCAGTTTAATGTTTGTTTTTTGTTTTAAAACATATTTTAGGGGATATTTAGTCCAAAAATAATGTTTCAAGATTATCAACCTAGAGTTTGTTTTGAAAAAAAATTGAAACTTTGTAACATAACAGGTACCTCTTTTGTTGTAGTAGAGCCTGTTAGTAACACTGCAAGTGGTATATGGGTGTCAGAAGGGGGAAAAGGAGTGCTCATGAGCAAGAACTAGATGAAGAACAGCAAAGGAAAAGGATCCGGGATATATTTATGTCACCTACCGACGAAGACTTCTTTGAAGGGTTTTCTGAGAGCGAAGGGTCAATGAGTGAGGAGGAGGAAGGAAATACAGTGGATGTGAATAGGGGAACTAAGAGGGTTACTCGGGAGCAGGCATCAGATGAGGAGTGACAAAGGAAGAAGATCCGGGATATACTTACTGCTCCCACAGATGAAGAGTCTTTCATGGGTTTATCTGGGAGTGACGGGTCTGGGAGTGATGGGGGTGGGGATGACACACTGGATTGGACGAAAGTTCAAGAGGTTCGAGATGTATGTACTCAGCCAACTTCTAGTGACACATTTGTGGGGTTTTCTGCTGGTGGGGATTGGCAATCAGGAGATACTGCTGAGTCTTGGGGAGATCTAAGTCTTGACAAAAGGTGGAAGAGTTGGAGGGATGGGCACCGGCTTTCAGGTGTGGAGGCAAGGACAGCTGTAAGGGATGACGGCAGGGCGGAGGCCAGCTCATCATCGGATAATGAGGTGTAAGATAAAAGTCGGCATTGAAATGGAGAATCTTTACAGAAGGCAAAGTGTTGGTTTCGTGCCTTGGGTTTTGTTGCTTCCGCTTTCATGTTAGGTTTGGGTCCTGGATCTACAGGTTGCTGCTTCTGTTCGTGTTACAACTCGGATTGGATTCTCGTGAGTGCGGATTTCCCCTTCTCTGATTTCGGACTGGTTTTTGACGACGCTGCCTACGTGGACTTTGGAACCTCGCAACTTCGGACTTGGCGTACTTCGACCTCGGACTTCATTTGACTACGTTTCCTGCTTTGCGGCTCTTTGTTTGTTCACCCTTGACTTGCTGTGTTACTTTGCATGACTTTTGAAGCAGTTTAGTTTAATCTGGATCTTTTCTCCGGATAATCCGGATTATTGCCTTACTTTGCTTTTTGAACTGAAACTTGCTGCTACCTTTAAGTTTTGACCAGAGACACTGAAATAAGTGTCTCTGAGTCCCTTTTGTTTTGTGTTAATAAACTCTACTTTTGGACATACTCCTGAGTTGGCTCTTTAAGGCGTCTGGGTTCCTACATCTTTCTTAATCTGTAATAAGCAATAACAGTGAATAATAATTTAATAACCAACAATAAAGAATTACTCTTCAAAAATAACTTCTTAGGATCTGGAAAAAAATCCATGAACCTGTCAATAAAATACTATATTCTGTATGGTTTTTTAAAGTAAACCATGAATTTTCCATGTGATACCTGTTCTTAGGGATCATAAGAATCTGATTATTTTTCCAGCCTTTAGTAGCATTCAGTTCTCTTTTTTTTTCCAGATTTCATTATTTTACATAACCACTGCCAGAAGTCTCTTCTGATAGTAAGAGCAGAAGATTGCAATTATACAATTTCTGTGAAAATTTCCTAATATATATTGGAATAAGAATGGAAAAGGTCAGCAGCATTTCTGAAAGCAGAATTCACTTGCTTCTCTTTCTATGCCAAATGATTACTGCATTGGATGTACCTCTTGACCGTAAGTATTAGCAGCACTCTGCTTATAGAATAGCACTGAATGAATTTAGATTGTTATAAAGAAATGTCCTAATAACCTAATGTTGACCTATTTAAAAACAATAGCATTGCATTATATAAAAAAAACCCCATCATTTTATGTATATTGTGAACATTGCTTCCAAGGAAGTTCCAAGATAGCTTTTGCTGCTGCTGCTGGGTTGTTTTTTTTGTTTTTTGTTTAAAGTAAAATTGGTGTTCTACTAGGAATTGTTTTTAGTATTTTTAATATCACATCACTATGCTTTTAGAGCATGACGAATATTTCAAAAATAATTTAAAAGTTTTTATATTCATTTATGTCTACCTATTCAGATTCATACACAGCTATATTATTTCATTTCAGCTAATATTATTCTAACCCTTGTAATAGATATTTAGTGATGTAATGTTGAAGGAATATATACCCAAGAAGCTGCTGTTACAATATGTTTTAATTTGGTATATAAAAATAAGATAATTACTTGGGCTACAGTCCAAAGAAAACAGTATGCTTTTTAAAGTGAGCAGTGATATGTGTCCTTAAGGAAGAGTTATTGTCACTAGTTCTCATTTCTTGTGAAATTTATTTGATTTCTGGATAGAATTATTTGTTTAGTCCGACATCTCACGTGTGTATGAGTAATGTATTTGTTAAGACATAGGCATTCTAAACTAAAAATGTAAAATAAACTTGCATTTTTACTTTAATATCAAAATATAACATAGCAATGATATTTTAATACTAGAATAGTGATGAGAATGCTCACTTTCAATTACATTGGTTTAATTATTAATCTTATAGATAATAATCACTTATCTATATTGTTTGTAGAGTAGAGGCAAGTGCTCTTTATCACTTGAAAAACAATCTTAAGTGCTTTGTTGCTGTTACATTTGGTCCCACGGACAGATTGATTTTTGCCTGGAGCATTGAGTCATTACTCTCCATTAGTTCCATATTGCTGCCTCTTCAGGATTTTTTAAATCAATAATGCATATTTTTATAGGTCAGAGCAATGAAGAGTTTTTTCTTTTGAAAAGTTGACAGTTGACATGTATTTCACAGATTGGTCAAAGAAAATTTAACAGGCACTTGTCATGCTAACAAAGTAACTATGCTGTCTCCTCTTATGTCAGTTGGAATTGTTGCAAAATATCTTTAATATGGGTTATCTGCATATTTCTCAGTACCTTCTTTTTCTGGGACACCACGTCATCTTCATACTAACAAATAATTTTCTTTAATTCATGATTACAATTCACTTGCTGAATCTGATGCGGGGGAAAAAGCAAAACTTCTTGAAGAATGTAAGTTTTCTGCCCACAAACCCAGAGAATAAAAAAAACACTTTGTGTGTTGTGTGTGTCATAATATGTTTGAAAAAAAAAGTGAGTGTGGAGTCCCATGTGGCATGGATTTTTTAATGTTATTGTTTGTTGTTACTAAAGGTGTGTACAGATGATCTGTCAGTAGTAGCCTTATAAGGATCAAGAATAATTTTCAAATTAAAAGATAATTGACATTTACTTTTGGTATGTAAAATGTGTATGTGTCTACACAGGCACTCCTGTAGCCTTTAAGAAAAAGGAGTACTTTTCCATTTTAGCACTATCTCATGAGCCAAGCACATCATTTAGAACTGCAATTGATTATACTTGCTTCTTTTTGCAGTCTGTTCTAGTCAATTTCACCATTACATTAAGCCTGCCATTATGATGCTGGAAGCAAGATTCACTTTTCTGTACACAATAGAGTTTCCTTTCTGTAAATTGACTCAGGCCTGGTGCCATGGTAGCAATTCAGGTAGCAATTCCTGTTGCTCCAGAGAAATAATCATCTGTACACAGCCAAAGTGTGTGTTTGCTCAACTTTTCCCTTACTGTTATAATTTAGAGGCACACACTGCCAGGATTTGGTTCTTCTCAAAATGCACAAACATATTTACGGGTGGATAAATACCCCTTTCACTTTAGAAAAAAGTTACATTTTGTTCTACAAACATTGCCCAGAATTATGTATCAGTACTTAGTAAAGGATTCAAACTGGGCCAACTGCTTACACAGGTCAATGCTGCCATCCCATTTTCCTTGTGCCCCTCAACATTGTTTTCACTGAAAGGGATGTTGTTCACACAGAAGCGTGATCAGTAGTAACATGACATGCATTCCATGCTAGAAGTAAAAATGTGATAGCTGTGTTGTTCTTTGGGTCTGCTCCTGGTGCATTTTATCCCAAGAAATTTTGGAACAGATGAGAGATATAACCATTCCTTCTGATCACTCTAACCATAAAGACCTTATCCCACAATGCAGGCAGAATGTCTTTACGTAGGTGCAGTTATATAGAATTGGTATAAACTGAGGTCTATTTGGGATTTCAAATCCTTGTGTCTTTTGGTGTAATTTTATCTTTTTTCACTGTCATAAATTTGCAAACTAATTTGAACAAATAGAAGAAGCCTTCAATCATTTAAAAGGAAATGGCTGAATATCATGTACTTTGCCTAGTTCAACTTTCATGATGCTGGATTACAAATCCAGCAGCCCTAGCTAGTATAGCCAAAAGTGAAGAACTGTGAATTATGTTACAACAGCATTTGAAACTGTTAGTTGGTTATTCTCCAGCCTATATTGCCAATTTTAGAAGGATCTGATACAGCACTTGGTAATACAGCTGTAGTGAGAATACAGGGGAAAGTCCTTTATTCTGCTTACAAATAGACAACTTGTTCATACTCAGCCTCTTTACCAAAAGTAGCAACCAATATGCAAATGTGGCCAGCACATACAATCCTGATCTGATGTTTGCTTTGTCTGAATTGTGCACTGTTTTATAACAGATAGAAAAAGCATTAGTGATTGCCTACTAAGAGTTGCCTATTTTAAAAGCAGCAGAATGTAAGAAGAAAATATTTGTTGCTAAAATGTTATGTGCAGTGACATGCAAACAACTTAGCTGTACTAACATGGATCAAGCAACTCTAATAGCAAATTTGGTTTTACAAATTCATCCTGTCGTCTTACAATGCAATGGTAACATTCTTCATTAATTTCAGGGGAACTTAACTCCCTTGTAGGTTTGTGCAGGATTGTAGCACACTAAATGTTTTCAAAAATTGCCCTTTGCATAATCTTTTTGTGCGTTTTGAAGATATAAGTAAACATTTCTTTTTTTTGTTTTTATCACATTTTTCAAAAGTGCCACAGCCTCCAACGATAATACAACAGTCACCAAAAGATTATATCATTGATCCAAGAGAAAATATTGTAATACAGTGTGAAGCAAAAGGAAAACCACCTCCAAGGTAAGGAATGATTATTTCACAGTGCATGTTCTAGATCCTTTGGCATGACTCTATGGTATTATTGAGCCACAAATCCTTCATTCACACAATTGCCAGGGCTCAAATGCTTAGATTTAATGACCCCCCCCCCGACCTTCCTGCAATGTCCCAAAAGTTTCTCCAAAGCTGGGAGTTAACAGTGATCCAGACCTGGAAGAAAACACAGCAGCTCCCAGTGTGTATGGCAAAATACAGTCTGTTTGTGTATGGTGCGAAGATTGGATTCTTTCCTTGGTGGAAGCACTCTGAATAGAGTGGCAAAAGGTCAATCACAGGAGCATCAAAAGAAACACCACCACCCCCCCTTACTCTCTGTCCTTAATGATGCCGCTTGTAGACTTTTTGAATGCCTGTGTTGGGAGATGGCAGCCAATGGTAGCTGCCCCCCTGAGACAGCTTTTATCTCTCTTTGGAATGATCCTCAACTTTCTCACAGGTCATTTCAAAATCAATAATTTTGACCCACCCACCCACCCCGCGACATATATGAGATCAATATATATCTATACACACAGTGACATTTGCTTTTCAGCTAGGGATGGAAAGAGTATTCAAAATATTTTTAATTATTAAACATGTTATTTTAAGTATTGAGAAAAGTATTGAGATTCGTATCACAAAAATCTATTGAGAAAATATGTTAAGAATTCTGGATTGGGATTAATCTTGCACAAAATCAGCATGTGGGTGTTTTATATAGACACCAGAATTTTTTTGTGTGGAAAATGATTGTACAGCAAAATTATTTTCTGACAGAAAAGGCTACATTTGGGGACATACTGCACAGAATTCACACATGAATGAATTGCATATAAAAGAGCAGTGTTTTGGATTCAGCTCCCATAAATCCCAGCCAGGTTACCAGCTGTTAGGAATTGTTGGAGCTGAAGTTCAAAACATCTGGAGGAGCAGAGTTTGACAAACACTGGAAAAGAGCATTGTCAGTGTGGCAGTTTTTCTGCTTACCTTATGATATTTTTGTATATAAAAGTTTCATATATAGAACAGCCATATATTAACTTTGTCCAGAATTAGTTCTGAATTGTGAGTAGCCTTCAAAAAATGTTTGAAAATTACCAGGAATAAAATTGCTAATATTACTTATTGTTGTTTTTTAAAAAAAATAATAATAAAATAAATGTAGTGAACAAATATATCCCTATATTCTGCCCACTGTGGTCCCCACAAAGCTATGTACAATAAAATATTCAATAATACCAAGGCTGAGGATCTCAGATTCTGAGGAGGTGGTTTTTGATATATCTTATCCTTGTGCCATTATTTTTTTTAAAAAGCACCCTTAAATATTTAAGATTTCTCCCTGATTTTCCAGTTGGATATACTGCTAACATTATCATGATTTCTGTTATTGCACTACTAAATGTATTATATTGAAACAAATGTTTTTACACTTAAGAAACTTCAACTACAGCAACTTCAACCACATTTGTTTAATTGGTAGTTTCTCATGGACTCGTAATGGAACTCATTTCGACATAGATAAAGACGCACGGGTAAGAATGAAGCCACACTCGGGAACTCTTATAATAAATATTATTAATGAAGAAAATGGAGGAAAGGCAGAATCATATGAAGGAGTATATCAGTGCACGGCAAGAAATGAGCTAGGAGCAGCCATTTCCAATAACATTGTCATACGATCATCCAGTAAGTTGAATATCTGTCATTGATAAAACTTTGAAGTTCTTATTGCTTGTTTTCAGCCTTTTCATTCATATAATTTCTTCTTTCTTTCTTTTTAAAAAAGACATCTTTCTAATCATCAAAGCAATTTTGTTAGAAGGTAATGATGTTTGATATTGTAGCATAGTGCTGTATAGCATGAAAAACTGCCCATTTTCTCTGAAGTCTTTAAGTAAGTCAAGCACGTGATACTTTCCCTTTTCCCACCAGTATGCCCCAAACTCGATATTGTATAAAGCATCACAACAAGAAAGGATTAATTTGATCCTTAAACACATCAAGGATTTAAATATTTAATATTACAAAAGTGATATATATCCATTATAAAAAGACAGTGGGGATTTGAAAAGGAAACAATAACACCCCCACCCCCCACCTTTTGGGGAAATTTTATCTGTTGCTTCCTTTCAACAGTTGTGGTTCCATCTCAAATATATTCTCTTATGAAACTGAGATGTGATGTCAAAATGGAAATATCAATAGAACAGCCTGAATCATTGCACTTGAGAACACTAGGCATGTGTACTTCTCTAAATGTTGTGAACTGACATGTTATTTACTTTACATGAAGAAGTATAAGTAGCAATGAAATCAACAGAACTTAAAGGGACCACTGCTCAATATAATATCCTTTATTTATTTTAGTTCATATCTATTGTTTCTAAATGTATGTTCTTTCATTGTTTAATTAAAATTCTATGATACTAAAAAAGAAATATTTACCTGTTTTGCTTTCTACAATACCCAGAGTTACATTGTCCAGGAATCTTTAGAAATATTTACCTGTTTTGCTTTCTACAATACCCAGAGTTACATTGTCCAGTAAATGTTAAGGAATCCCCTTTGAATTGTAAATTAACATTAGAATGTTACATTCCTTGAAATAGCCTAAATTGCTACGTAAAAGTTCCTTCTAATCTTTCCCATGAGATTGCCACTGCTGAAGCTGTCTATCCCAAATTTCACAAAGACTTGTTTTTGTTTGTTACTAAGTTTTTCCCCTCTAGCTTTCTCATTCCCCGGGCCACATGACAGTGATTTTTTCCTCTACAGGATCCCCTTTATGGACTAAAGAAAAACTAGTTCCAAAAGTAGTCACTGAAGGTCAATATGCAGTACTTCCCTGCAGGCCACCAGTGGGGTTACCGCCACCTATAATATTTTGGATGGATAACTGTAAGTTTTATCTTTAGAATCTATAAGAAGTTGAAATGGTAGAACCATTCAGGAATTCCATCTGTGTTTACTGAACCTAGCTAGATTGAGATGCCTCTTTGGGATAAGGGACAATTGAATCATGTTATTCCTCATGATGGTTTCCATTCCATCACACATATAAATTACTTTGTAAGGTTTTATATACATTTGTGTTATTACAGTAGGCTTCTTAGTTATTGAAATTCATCATGATGGGGCATATCATCTACCTTATTTTAATCTTACATTATGAAAATTCTTATAATGCTTCTATTACATTTTGTGTGGTTCTATTAGCTACCTCTGCCATCAGTTTTCAGCAAGCATAGTAGCTTCTTACACCAGTATAGCATATTTAATAACAGAATTGCAGGTTATGACACTGGGCTGGTAGTGATAGAACAATAAGCAGGATCTTATTTTTCTAGCTGTTCCACTTTTTGATAATCATATTGTATTTGGCAAATCATTGCTGGTTTGCCAAATATGAACCTGATAGGAATGCTTGGAAATCAATGAAAGTTAATGAACATTGGAAAGCAACGAGAAGAAGACAGAAATAAAGTGTCTTAGGTTACATCTACACTGACCTGTTATCCCAAAAAGGGGGGGGGGCAGCTTTGTGGTGTTTCATGATGCACAGAGCTTATTCAAATTAATGCAGTACAAAGCAACTTAATGTGACCTTGAACCATGTTAACAAAAGTTGCAGGCTGCTCCAAACTCTCCCCAAAATTCTGGAGCACACCATGAATTTCAGCCTGGATGCAACTGTTTGCACTATATTTCCTGGGCTGCGGTGTCTATGGAGAAGGGATAGCACTCAGGGACCTCCTCCCATTCTTGCTGTTATTTCAGCCCTTATAATATGGCTAGATGACAAGCTATGACCATCAGCCATTTTACGACCACTGGCCATTACTATGATGTGAATGCAAGGGGAAAAATAAGAGTGGTTGTCCAGTCACACTGACAGTCAAAACCATTCCAGGGGCAATCCAGAATTTGACACTCGAGATTGGCTCCAGAGTAAATCAGTATGTATAGAATAGGTTCTTGAACCATTCTGTGCACAATGAGGAATGGGACACAACAGATCTATTTTTAATATGGAAAAATACTTACACACACCAACAAGTTCCTGTTGATAGTCAGAATTTATCTGGTTTCCTTAACCATTCAGTGCTTGAAGTGTGGGTTTTTAAAGGGAACAGTTATGGTCCTAAGGCTCCAGTGAATAGTTCAAAGCTGTTATAGGTACATCATTTTAAAATAAGCTCTTTAAATTCTTATTTCTCAAAGGTAGATAACTCCTACAACAGCATGTGAGGCACCACTGTATGCCTGGTCTTGAACCACATAGTGTTATTCTTCAACCATTTAGAGAACTAGCTTGATGTAGTGCTTTGAGCACTGGATTATGATCCGAGAAGCAGGGTTCAATTCCACATTTGGCCAAGGAATTCCACTGGAGGAGGTTCTACACAGACACTATAATGTAGTTTGAAGCCATCTTGAGGGTGAGATCTTCTCAAAATGTATATCCCCCTCCCAATGTGCACTGCAGCACCATCAAACGGGAAACAGTGTGTTAAAAAACCTCATCATAGAGTCCAGAAATTCTTGAAAATCCAGAAAATGTGCTGCAGCTGATCATAGTATATCCCATTCAGGGCTTGAAATTGGGATCAGAAAATGTGAAGCATCTGTCAGGGCACCCATTGCACTGAAGCACTTAAAAATGCTGGGGCACATTTAGCCAGAAGGTAAACAATGACTCTCCTAGATAGGGAACCACATCATTCCTATGAGAACTCTCACTTTCTTGACCTTTGTTCTCATTTCCTATGCCCTGCCACAATCAAGCAGTAATCCCTAATGTACATGGATATGTGCATTAGTGCATCCCAGCGGACTGATTAAGAAAAAAATCCCTGTATTTTTTGGGTGCTGATTAGCAGCAAATACTGGTTTGGTTCTAATCCATATTCAGAAGATACCATGGCCATAGTTTCTAGCCTTGAACCAATTCCTGGGCTGTTTGTGTAGGTGCTGCACAGCGAACTGGTTTGTTTTAATCCACTTTCAAACTGGGTTATAGTGTCTGTGTAGAACTCCTGGGTGATGAGTCATACACCCTCAGCCCCAGAAAACACTGTCCTTGTAATGATTAAACAGTCATTTTTGTCTGTTCAAGTGGTCAGTGAATAGTAATGTGATTTAAAAAAAAACCCGGGAATGTTTACATAGGCTGTGTATCTGTTGTTTTATGTACTTTTTGTTGCCAAAAACTGCTTTTATTTGAACTAACATTTTATTTGCTATATTTTTTACATATTTATTGTGCCATGCTTTTTAATATTTAAAAATTTAAAAATTGATATATAATACATATCCTTGAAAATAATAAGGTGTAAAATACTCTGCCTTTGCACAGCATGTGGGGAGAAATCTTATTGTGAACTGGACAAAATTTCTTAGAATCCTTCTTACAATGCTGGAGGGGGAATTTGGGGAACAGTAGTCAAAAGGTAACTTTGGCAAGTTTTCCTGAATTCAGAGAGAGACAGAATCAGCCCACAGCAAGTTCTCTGAACTCCCTATATTTTACTTTGACCCAAGAAATGAATGTGCTCATGCACGGCCTAGTTAGAGAGATTTCTGCATGTCTTCTTTATTTAGCAGAGCAGTTGTCTAGAAACGTAGTGAGAGTTCTCATGCTTCAATCTTTTTTTTTTTGTAAAGAGGTGCTATGAACAGTTTCTCTTTCTTCATATTCTTAGCTTTTCAAAAGCTTCCTCAAAATGAGAGAGTTTCCCAGAGTCTAAATGGGGACCTTTATTTTTCTAATGTAATACCAGAAGATACCCGTGAAGATTATATATGTTATGCAAGATTTAACCATACTCAAACTATACAGCAGAAGCAACCAATTTCTTTAAAAGTTGAGCCAGGTAGGTCTGGATTTTTGTGCATTTTCTTATATAGCTAGTATATGTGGGTCATAAAACAAAATCCAAAGTCCATATTATGGTGGTGTAATAGCAACCTTTATTACATCATTTTATATTAGACTTTGTTATATTGACCAGAAATTTGTCATATATTTCGTGTACAACTTAATTTTCTTGAAAAATGATACCTTTAATCTAACACATGCAACCAAAATAAGTTCTTTTGGACAACAGTGAACATAATTTTCATTGCATTTGAATAGATTTCTCAAAACTAGTACACTGTAATAAAATCTGTTTTTCTGAATGTTCAGGGTGCCTGTGTTTCATTGTTGTCAACAAGATTTAAGCAACCTGTTTCCAGGATTTCAAGTTTAGTATAAATGTAGCCTGGTCACAAAAGTCTCTGTACATTTCTCCTTTATATACTTTCATGGAATAAATACTAAATATCACCTGACACATCTGAGGCCAGAAACAAATGTTATGGTGGTCCTGGGCTGTATAGCAGTCATTGAAGAGTTTGATGCAACATAATTACAACTTGACTTACCAATATTAATGTATAGACATTTCTAAAGCCCATATTTACTTTACCTGGTTGCATTCTTCATTATATTCTATTTATTTCAGTGGATTCATTGAATGAAACTATAGCTGCTAATATGAGTGACACTGATTTTAATGGTGGTGAGTTTTAGAGCTCTAGTCTGGCATTATTCCTTTCATTGTAGAGTTTAGCTGACTAACTTCACTCCATGGCTGCTTAACCAAACTGCCTTTACAAGTCTAATAAATCTATCTTCAGTACTGGTTTCATTAACTGAATAATATAAATACCTCAATCGATTTTAAATTGTTTAGTGGTAATAGCAGCACTTTTGCATGAAAAACATATATTTTTTCAGAAATGAATCAATTTGGCAGTCTTGTTAAATTTAATGTACTCTATTTATGGTTCCTTCTACGTCAACTGATAGTTTACTATCACTGAGATTAGTCAATGCTGCACACTTTGGCCTAAACTGAAACATAATTAACAGATGCTTATCCCACTTACTGTCTTGCTGAATATGAAGTTAAATGTTAACCATTTAATACGTGTGTTACGAAGAATAAATGCCTGGCATGTTTAAAGATATTCATGTTCCAATCTTAACTTTCTGTTACTACTCCTTTTGCTGCTGTAGCTGCTATTTCATTTGCAGTCATTTACAGAATTTTCAATTTTTGTAGGAGTATGGGTTGAATATCCTTTATCTGGGATTTCAGAACACTCCAAATTCCAAAATTGTCCTCATAGGTGACCGAAATAGTCATACCTTTGCTTCAGTGATTCAATGTACATAAACCTTGTTTCCTGCACAAAATTATTAACAACATTGTGTATAAAGTTACTACCAGGCTAAGTGTATATAGTGTATTTGAAAAACAAAAATGAATTTTGTATTTAGAATTGAGTCTCATCTTCAAGATAGTTCATTATCTACATTAAATAGTCTAAAACCCAAAAATACGAAACATTTCTGGTCCCAATCATTTCAGATAAGGGTACTCAACCTGTATCAACATAACAATATGGCTACCATGATTTTGAATTTTCCGTTAATGCATACTTCATCCACTTTGTACAAACTTTTCAAGGTGCAAAAGCATGTGTTATGAGGACAAGCCCATTCAAGATAATATATAACTGATTCAAAGGGAACTGCAGCAGCCATCGGCAGCCTTTGTGGACACCAAACCAATGCATACATGCTGTATCATAAATACATAATAGGAGCTGGTAGAAGAGTCACTACTGCTACAATATTGGCCAAGATCCAAGAACATAATTATCTATTTAGCCAAATAAATAATAGTTAGCATCTGCCATCCCCGTTTTAAGCAGAGGAGGGAATTATGGAGACACATCCTGCTGCTGCTTGTTTTCAATTTTGGGAAGTTCTCAGGAATAAGTTGATCATTTTTTAAACTAAATTCAGGGTTGGGGATTCTGTCCTCAAGGGACAGTTTAAGGTGGTGAAAGTAAAAGAGAATGAAAATAGCTGTATGACAGACCAGTGCTACTGATCACAGAGAATTGTCCTTGCCAGTAGAGATGGACAACTAGAAAACATCAAGCTGCAATCAATCTAGTTGCCTTTTGATTTATTGTGACACAATATTTAAATGGAATATGTGTTTTGTGATTGCTATGAAACTTACAGCAAAAATGTCAGGGAAATGTCAAACAGGGAAACGGAAATGTGAACTTTATAACCTTCCCAATGCAGCTCAGTGTATAAAGCTCTCTGAATTAAAAGTATTCCACTGAAATAGATTAGGAGTCCTGCTTATTCTGGAGGCCTGTATGCGCATATGAGAACAAGAAGATTTGAAGTGAATCTTACACATTAAATATATTCTCTTTAGGCCTAACTGGACTATATATTTTAACTAGTTCAACTAGTCATGTCTTGTTTCCATTTAATAAATGGAATTGGGATAGTATGAATAGTGTGTGTGTGTGTGTGTGTGAAAGAGAGCACAGAGGAAGATAGTTCAGATCAGAAGAGCAGAACTGGTCAGAATTCAGGCTTGTGTGATCTTATTTTTTGCTAGGACCATCAGAGACATTTGGATGATATGGACATTAGGAATTAGGAGCACAGGAATATGTTTTGAGTATAGAAACTGTATAGAGATCATAGTCTTTCCACACAGTATGTAATGTTGTTGATTTTAATTACATTTTACTCATTTTAGAAACAGAGGTAGGGGAATCACTTATTTTTGAAATAATTTAAAATGACAAATTCTTACTCATATTACTCATATACAGAAAATTACAAAGAGACCTACCAATAAATCTATATCTACCTTCTGCCCTCCCAGCAGCTCTCTACTAGATTCTAAACATTTATCCAAGGAGCAACTCCACAGTATTGTTTTAGATTAAGTCATAGCATTAAGAATTTACCATAGCATTTAAATTTTAAAAGCTTTATACGTTTGGAAGGATAATATTTCCCCCACTCCTATATCTACCTGTTCCTGTTTGATGTTTCACTGCATGTGAGTGAAATTTTGCAAATCTCCAGAGAAACAGAAACTCATTATGTATCAGCATTTAATAAAGAAATGGAAACAGAAAAAAAAATGAATGAATGAGAAACACTCATGAATCTCCTCTCCTGAGTTCTCCTGGGACAATTTTATCAGCAGAACAAACCTGTTGGATGCTAGCCTTAGTTTATATTAAAACTTTCTGATTTTTACGAATTTTACCACACCATAAATAAAACCCTTTTTTATTTTGGATTTTCTTTATGCATGAATAAAAAATATAAATTTACCATTATGCATTTACATTTTAAATGCATTATGAATTTGACAGCAGATTTGAAATGATAAATTATACATACTTTTAAAAGTTTCTTTTTCTTTTAGCCAGATTATATCAAGAAAGAAGGCCTACAATTCTAACACCAGGTGGAAGCACAAGTACCAAAACAGAGCTAAGGGGGAACACCCTCTTGCTGGAGTGCATTGCAGAAGGATTGTAAGTTGTCCTGCAGTCTAATCATACAGTCTAAATCTGTAACTACCAAAATGATATTTCATCCATACAATTGCACACTATTTGCTTCTCATAATGTAACGTTAGCTATCACTCACTTCAATAGTGAGTTGAACACAGAAAAATAAAGAAAGCCGAGAAGAATGTTCTCTCTCTTTTCTTCAGACCACTTTACATTTGGTAGGTCCATTGTTCAACCACTAAAAAATGAACTTCTTCTAAAATTGCTAGAGGACATGCAAAGGAAAACTTTTTTTAGTATACCAGTTCTCTTTCATGTACTTTCATGAATTAGGTTTTTTAAAGCATCTAAGGGCACATCTCCACTGACCACATAATACAGTTTGAAGGGAGCTTCAGAACACAGTTTAAATGACACACTCTGGCAATGTGCATATGCTCATTGTGGGATGGGAGGTGTGTGTGGGGGAGGGGGAACTTGATTACTCCATGGCCAATCCTGGAACTGGGTCATAGCCAACCTCTGTGATGCTTATAAGCACTGTTCAGGTCTTGACCCAAGTGACTCTACATTTGAATTACTTTCTCCTCTGTTAGTTTCACCCCGTTTTAAGTGCTCAGCATAGATTTGCCCACTGTTGCTGTTCATGTTCAGTAAAGATGTTTATGCTCCCCTATCAGTGCAACGGGCAAGACATAAACTCTTGTGGAGATGGAGGTGGTCCAGTTAAATATTGTAGTGACAGTCAGTCAATGTTTTGGATAAAATAATTTGATGAATTGTTTTATCTGTTCCTACAACAGTTCTTTTCTTGTGGTGATACACTCCCCTTCTGCATATTTTCTGCCCAAACGGAAGAGAGGAGTTGTTAGGCAACATGTATGGGCTGTATTCTAAAGCAGAAATATTGAGCTGGATATTTGGCAGGAATTATTTATCCAGAAGGCTGGACTTTTATAGAAGAGATATACTACCCATAAATCTTTATTTATCTGTTTATCTTTCAAGAATGAATTACAATCAGTCCTCTACATTTGCTGGTGTTAGGAAACCAGGACCACCGAGAAAATAAAATAAAAAAACATAAAGGAATTAATATTTTATTTTACATGAGAGAACACTTCTTTAGCTGTCTCTATGTCTTCTAGCATGATTCTATGATCAGCTTCCACTGGAAGCTGACCATAGAATCACTTTGGAAGAACTAGAGCTTTCTAAAAAGGTGTTCTGTCTAGAAATCTCTAGGTTCTCCAGCATCGACTAGAGTCCCACTGGAGGACCAAGAAATTCAAAGAGAGAACATTTTAAATCAAATACTTAAAAGTGAAAACCACACATATGGAGGGACAACTATAGTCCTGTGCTTAGATTTGTTGTCATTCCTTAAACCACTGGTTATATTTGGTAGCATTTATAAAACTCAGGTTATCATCTATCAGTACAAACCTACAAATCTGCTTCAGACTCATTGTTTTAACATGAGCAAGGTGACAACATAGGAGGGTTGTTTCATATGTCATTTGATGTACCCAATGATTACTGGATTATTTTTCCTGCGCTGCTCAGTATTTCTGTAACATTTGATGCAACTCTAAAGCCCTATATAAACAAATACACAATAGAAATAAATACAGTAAAGAAATTGCATTGGAAATAATTTACTTTTTGTTCTCTCCTAAATACACAACTGAAAATCCTCTTACTCAAAGTGAAAAGTGCCAACTCTTTAGTCCTGGTAGTCCCTCAAATTCCCACTCTCTTCCTTTCCTTCTGAACTTTAACTAGCAAGCACATTTCTTAGGGTTTCCTCACCCATGGGCCATACCAATTTGCACTAAGGGTAAACTGACAAGAGCATCTTTAAACCTAGGTAAAGATTAATCCAATACCACATCACCATTAATATAGGAAAAAACCTACAGATTAAATATTTTTCTTAACTATTAAAAAATCTAGTACGCCACATCACCTCCACACCCAATATATATATCAGGATTCCTAACACATTATCAGTATATTTCTATAGCATATTGAAAGTAGTATGTAAATCTTTCTAAGGCCCATTTTACACTACCATATAAAATCCAGATTGTCTGCTTTGAACTGGATTATATGGCAGTGTAGAATGAAATAATCCAGTTCAAATAATCCAGTTCAAATAATCCAGATTATCTGTTTTGATAATCTGGATTATATGACAGTGTGGAAAGGACCCAAGAAGAAAGAAAGGGGACCAAACACAGGCAAATGCAACATTAGGCTCAGTTCCATTTGGCTAGTCCTCTCATCCCGTTTCCCTACTGCAACAGTTACCCTATGGGAAGGAAATTGAAATGCTGTCTGCTGCTCAAATGGCACGTCTTATACTGGGTTTAAGCATGCTTTTTCTGTTATATTTGCAGTATTTTATATTGCAAAAAGTTACTATGAGGAGTACAGATGAGATGTAGGATATAAATCTTCTAACTATATACAATTACTTGGGAGAGAAATCCCAAATATGATATAGATATGAGGAGCATCATTTATGATTTAGATTTAAGTTATTTTCTAGAAACTCATGTTCTTTGGATTTAGAAGTAGATTGGTATTATTAATAATGCTAATCATGTATAATGCGTGCAAAATGTAATTGCTTGTGTGTATGTGGTTGTGTGGACTTATTGGAGCCATTACTTTGTTCAGTTAAGATGCATTACATCTAATATCTTAGAGGTATCAGCTGGAGTTCATTCGAAACACTTACACTTCTGAAAAAAAATGCCACTAAATGAGTAGGAGAACCTTTCATTCCATCCATATCATATCCAGCATTCCATATTTTAGCCAGCCAAATCTATGGTGCAGCCCAGTTTTGTTAATCAGTGGGATGTGTGGTGGCATCTGCTGGTTCCTTTGTGCATACAAAAGTGCAAAATAATGATTTCATGTTGAAGTAGGCAGTAGGCAGTGCATCTCTTTCATAAATATTCAGAAGTAAATACAATTCAATCCAGTGATAAAAAGAAACAAGAATGGCATCCTTAATCAGTTCAACATTATATATCAAAATTATATACTACAAAGTTTGGTGGCTTCAGGCTTAATATTAGGTGTCTTTGGGTGACCTAATTCATTCCGCACTGTAATGAGTATATTTTTTATAAAGGGGGATATGTCTAAATATGTGTAATGTAAAAACTGGGTCCTGAAGGCGAAGTCCAATGTTACTTGGCCAGATGTCATGGCAATATCTTTCACTACCACTACTCCAAAGCTGTCTAGGACTGGTACTAAAATAAGGTCTGGAAAGATTCCCAGTCCTCTGGAGTAGGTTTTCAAGTCATTTCCCTTAATGAATATGGTCAAGATTGGAACAATAGGGGTTTGTTCCATTTAGAAAGTCCTTTGAATTGAGGCTTTAGTTCATTGAAGTGTATAAGACCATTTCTCCCATTTCCCTGCCCTTCCCACTTTATTTGCTCTGTAGAGACTCTCACATCCCTGAAGGAGATTCAGGGTACACAGGGGCTGTCTGGATAAAGGAAGAAATTATTTTCAAAAATCCTCCTTTCTTTCAGCACCATTGTCCTGTGATAAACTCCCAGATCTCTGAATCCAGCCTAATGACTTCTGTTTTTTCAGAGGTCTACACTGCCAGATAATTCACAATATCAAGGCAGATAATCCACATTATCTGCTTTGAACTGGATTATCGGAGTCTACACTGCCAGATAATCCAGTTTAAATCAGATAATCTGTATTTTATACAGCTATGTATAAGAGGCCTCAGTTTGTTATTTTATAAAAAAATGAAAGAACATTGAAAAACATCTCGGGGAGATAAAGTAGGGTATAAATATATAATAATAATAATCACAAAAGTCAGTTGGAAATAATAGCATATCTCATGGTCATAGTGACCGGCATAAAATCCAGAGTACTGCACAAGTATGCAGCTAATAAACTTTATTAGACTTATAATGAACATTGCATGTTAGCAATAATATTGCTTAAACAAAATGTTTTATTGGTCATTCTTGGGAGTTATGGCTATTACTGAGTAAAATTACAATATTTAAAGTTACCAATTTCCTAAATGGCTTTTTTGCATTATTGTTTTAATATCAACTGCTGCTTTTCTCTTTCTGCCAGACCTACACCAACTATCCGTTGGATTAAAGAAGGTGGCGAACTTCCTATCAACAGAAAGTTCTTTGAAAATTTTAATAAAACTCTCAAAATCACAGATATTTCTGAAGCTGATTCTGGAAAATATAAATGTATGGCAAGTAATCAATTGGGTTCTGCTCATCATGTCATTACAGTCACTGTCAAAGGTAAATGCAATCTTTTATGTAACATAAAAGTGCTGTCCTTTTTATCTTATAAGGAACATTAGTGGAATCAGCTGTTTGTACTACTGAAAAGATTTCCAAAGTAGTAGTCATGTTAGGTCCCTTCTACACTACCATATAAAATCCAGATTATCTGCTTTGAGCTGGATTATATAGCAATTTAGACTCAAATAATCCAGTTCAAAGCATATAATGTGGATTATTTGTTTTGATCTGGATTATATGGCAGTCTAGAAGGGGGCATATTCTGTGACAAAATAAAAATAGCCATGAGCCTTGTGGCATTTAAAGACTATTGTATTTATTACATTATGAACTTTGGTTGTCTTACCTGCTGCGTTCGATGATTAATGTAGCAGGCATCCATCTCTTACTTTATTTATGCCCTGACTCTTTCCAGAGCTGGGACTTGCAGCTGATAAATGTGGCTATAATTCATGAAAACCTATGCTGCAATAAATCAGTTATTTTTTAACAAGAATCTTTATCATTTTTTCCCTATAAAAGCAGAATTTCTAAACAAGGGCTGTCTTCCTATTACATATTTACATTTAACTGAATCACAATTATGTAAAAGATAATTTGTGATAATTTACAGTGTTTTTAATTTCAGCAGAATTATAGCTATCTCTCGTATGTTATTCGAGGCCCCATCTACACTGCCATATAAAGCGGTTTAACTGCACTGAACTACGTTATATGAGACTACACTGATCATATAATGCATCTGCAAACTGTATTATATGGCAGTGTAGATGGGGGCAAAGCAACCTCGCAGAGCACCTGAAATAGACAAAGGTAAAGTCCAGGTTTGATCACTTCCAAAGGAAAACCTCAAATATGCTGCCCAAACTTATTAATAGATAATATTTTATTTACAGAATAATTAGGAGGAATTGGTTAGAGGTGACATGCCTGCATTTCCTGACGAACTCTTTTTTGAGATTTGTAGGACTCATTGCCATTGGGTGGTTGAGAGCAAAATAAAGGAAAACAAAAAAATCAGGTTGAGTCTACATTATGGTAGAGAAGGAAGGAGCTGAGACCTTTAGCTTGGGTTTCTAAAAGGCTTATTCAGTATAATGTCATGTGCTGTATATTAATGAACTGAAAATGATGTCACAAATCAGATAATTATTAACTTGTAATGATCTGACAGTAGTATAACAAATAAAGGCAGAAACCCAAAGAGGAGGAAGGCACCTTCTAGATTGCTAAACTTTATGAGTCTCCGATTTACTCATGTCCTCTGCTCAGGCTACATCACAATTCCCCAATAGAAAAAGGCCACCAGTCCTTGGCACTCTTCTCCCACCCCTCTTGAAAAAGCTTTAGCAAGATAATTGAACAAATTGGACATGTATATTTAATAACAAAAAGGAAGAGTAGGGAGTGGAACAGTTCTGCAGGATTTTCCAGGATCCAAACTACTGACAATCAATTCACTAATACATTGCTATACACCTTTTTTCTGATTACCACTTTAAAACCTGTAATCAGAAGCTGGCAGACAAAAGATATGATGAATTATGTCAAGTCAGCAGTAAATTCAGTGTAAGCCAGATTTCTTGACCCACATTTCTCCTAACGGTTGACAGGTTGCTGTGCTACAGTGGCAGGATCCACAACTGGCAGTATTTTACATTACTAGCCGTTTTGGTTCACTGTCTTTCTTATACTTGTTTGACAACCTGCCTTAAACCATCTTGTCTCTGACTTAATTATTTATTATTTATTTATTTACTGTATTTATGCGCCACCTTTCTCACCCCTGGGAGGACTCAAGGCAGTTTACAACATACTAATGGCAAAAATTCAATGCCAACATACAGTACATAAAGAAATCAAAATAACTAATTACTACATATAGCTAATTACTACATATAGCTCCAGCAAAGGATCACCGCCTTGTCGGGGCGCTGGAGCTTGAGCACCTCCATGATGTCATGAGCGAAACCGTGAAGGGCCACCCAAGACGGGACGGTTGTGGCAGAGAGGTCAGACCAAGCGTGATCCCTGGGGAAGGCAATGGCAAACCACGCCAGTATCCTTGCCAAGAAAACTAAATGGACCAGTACAACCAGAGATATGTCGGTATGCCATTGGAAGATGGGACTCCCAGGTCGGAAGATGGCCAAAATGCTACTGGGGAGGAGCAGAGGATAAGTTCAACTAGCCCCGATGTGATGACGCAGCTAGCTCAAAGCCGAAAGGAAGGCTAGCGGCCGACGGTACTGGAGGTGAACGACGAATCCGATGCTCTAAAGATCAACACACCATAGGAACCTGGAATGTAAGATCTATGAGCCAGGGCAAATTGGATGTTGTTATTGGTGAGATGTCAAGACTAAAGATAGACATTCTGGGGGTCAGCGAACTGAAATGGACTGGAATGGGCCACTTCACATCAGATGACCACCAGATCTACTACTGCGGACAAGAGGAACATCGAAGAAATGGAGTAGCCTTCATAATTAATAAGAAATTAGCTAAAGCGGTGCTTGGATACAACCCAAAAAATGACAGAATGATCTCAATTCGAGTGCAAGGAAAGCATTTCAACATTACAGTGATCCAAATATATGCCCCAACCACAGCTGCTGAAGAAGCAGAAGTAGATCAGTTCTATGAGGATCTGCAGGACCTACTGGATAATACACCAAAAAGAGACATTATTTTCATTACAGGAGACTGGAATGCCAAGGTGGGAAGTCAAATGACAACTGGGATCACAGGCAAGCATGGTCTGGGAGAACAAAATGAAGCGGGACGCAGGCTGATAGAATTTTGCCAGGAAAACTCGCTGTGTATAACTAATACTCTCTTCCAACAACCTAAAGACGGCTTTATACATGGACCTCACCAGATGGTCAACACCGAAATCAGATTGACTACATCCTTTGCAGCCAAAGGTGGCGGACATCCATCCAGTCGGTGAAAACAAGACCTGGGGCTGACTGTAGCTCATATCACGAACTTCTTATTGCCAAATTTAGAATAAAACTAAAGAGATCAGGGAAAATACACAGACCAGTTAGATATGATCTCACTAACATTCCTAGCGAATATACAGTGGAAGTGAAGAACAGATTTGAAGGACTAGATTTAGTAAACAGAGTCCCAGAAGAACTATGGTCAGAAGTCCGCGACATTGTTCAGGAGGCGGCAACAAAGTATGTCCCAAAGAAAACCAAGAAGGCAAAATGGTTGTCTGCTGAGACACTGGAAGTAGCCCAAGAAAGGAGGAAAGCAAAAGGAAACAGTGAAAAGGGGAGATATGCCCAGTTAAATGCGCAATTCCAGAGGTTAGCCAGAAGAGATAAGGAACTATTTTTAAATAAGCAATGCATGGAAGTGGAGGAAGACAACAGAATAGGAAGGACAAGAGACCTCTTCCAGAAAATTAGAAACATTGGAGGTAAATTTCAGGCAAAAATTGGTATAAGAAACAAAGATGGCAGGGACCTAACAGAAGCTGAAGAGATCAAGAGAAGGTGGCAAGACTATACAGAAGATCTGTATAGTGAGGTTGAATGGGCCTTAAGAAGTATTGCTAACAACAAGGCAGCAGGAGACGACGGGATCCCAGCTGAACTGTTTAAAATCTTGAAAGATGATGCTGTCAAGGTGATGCATGCCATATGCCAGCAAATATGGAAAACACAAGAATGGCCATCAGACTGGAAAAAATCAACTTATATCCCCATACCAAAAAGGGAAATGCGAAAGACTGCTCAAACTTCCGTACAGTGGCCCTTATTTCTCATGCCAGTAAGGTAATGCTCAAGATCCTGCAAGGAAGACTCCAGCAATACATGGAGCGAGAGTTGCCAGATGTTCAAGCTGGGTTTAGAAAAGGCAGAGGAACGAGAGACCAAATTGCCAATATCCGCTGGATTATGGAGAAAGGCAGGGAGTTTCAGAAAAACATCTACTTCTGCTTCATTGACTATTCTAAAGCCTTTGACTGTGTGGATCATAATAAATTGTGGCAAGTTCTTGGTGGGATGGGCATCCCAAGCCACCTTGTCTCTCTCCTGAGGAATCTGTACAAGGACCAAGTAGCAACAGTCAGAACTGACCACGGAACAACAGACTGGTTCAAGATTGGGAAAGGCGTACGGCAAGGCTGCATACTCTCACCCAACCTTTTTAACTTGTATGCAGAACGCATCATGCGATGTGCGGGGCTGGATGAATGCAAAGCTGGGGTGAAAATTGCTGGAAGAAACATTAACAACCTCAGATATGCAGATGACACCACTCTGATGGCCGAAAGCGAGGAGGAGCTGAGGAGCCTTCTAATCAAGGTGAAAGAAGAAAGCGCAAAAGCCGGGTTGCAGCTAAACGTCAAAAAAACCAAGATTATGGCAACAAGAATGATTGACAACTGGTAAATAGAGGGAGAAACCGTGGAGGCCGTGACAGACTTTGTATTTCTAGGTGCAAAGATTACTGCAGATGCAGACTGTAGCCAGGAAATCAGAAGACGCTTACTTCTTGGGAGGAGAGCAATGTCCAGTCTCGATAAATTAGTGAAGAGTAGAGACATCAGACTGGCAACAAAGATCCGCCTAGTCAAAGCCATGGTATTCCCTGTAGTCACCTACGGATGTGAGAGCTGGACCTTAGGGAAGGCTGAGCGAAGGAAGATCGATGCTTTTGAGCTGTGGTGTTGGAGGAAAGTTCTGAGAGTGCCTTGGACTGCGAGAAGATCCAACCAGTCCATCCTCCAGGAAATAAAGCCCGACTGCTCATTGGAGGGAAGGATACTAGAGACAAAGTTGAAGTACTTTGGCCACATCATGAGGAGACAGCAAAACTTAGAGAAGACAATTATGCTGGGGAAAGTGGAAGGCAAAAGGAAGAGGGGCCGACCAAGGGCAAGATGGATGGATGGCATCCTTGAAGTGACTGGACTGACCTTGAGGGAGCTGGGGGTGGTAACGGCCGACAGGGAGCTCTGGCGTAGGCTGGTCCATGAGGTCACGAAGAGTCGGAGACGACTGAACGAATGAACAACAACAACACATATAGCTATAAATTTAAAATCAATTAAAACCATTAAAAATAAGACATACATAACATTTAAACATTCAGACAAAGAATAAAATCATCCTAGTACAAACATTAAAATCCCATGATCCAGAAATCAGCTTCTATTCATCCTTATTTTTTATCTCCAGTGATTTATTCCAAGTTTGCAGAAAGTTTCACACAATTACTCTCTGCCTAGGAGCTATGTGAGTTCGAAGGATCTCAGCTACAAAATTATTTCTTTCTCACTCAAGAAGCACACCACAACCATTGTAACAATTATGTTCCCTAAACAGAGGTTTTTTTTAATATTGCCATAACACAAACTCAAATCAATTTGTGTAAAACAGAATACTACCACATGCATGATAAAATAGATACAGATCTCTCTTTCTCTTTCATTAAAACAGCTGCACCTTACTGGATAAGAGAACCAACAAACCTTGTATTGTCTCCTGGAGAAGATGGTTCCTTGATTTGTCGAGCTAATGGCAAACCCAAACCTAGCATAAGCTGGTTAGCAAATGGAGTTCCCATTACAAGTAAGGGCTATTTTTATTCTTTTCATAATGATGCAGAAATGTGCCATCAGACCAGGACTTGGGGATGAAACATTTGCAAAATGTGTAGGAGGGTTTGTAAATGCATCAAGCCTAGTTTAGCACATTTGAAAGCAAATGAAGTTCAAACATATAGCAAACCTAAAATGTCAGGCATAAAGTTCAGAGTTTAGCCAGCATAACCAGCACTAATTGTTCACACACACACTCTTACTACTTCATCACACTAGAAAAGGAATCCACTTTAAATCCAATTTCTCCCTCCTGCAGAATTCTGGAGTTTGTAGTTTAGTGAGGCTGTTAAAGGCTCCTCCCTAAACTACAAACCCCAGAATTCTGCAGGAGGCAGCAACCAGATTTAAAGTGGATTCATTCTCTAGTGTGATGAGGTTCTTAGCCTCGAAAATCCTCATGTTAGGTTCTCATTAGGGCCGGCATAAGTCGGATATGACATGAAGGCACACAACAATAAACAGCTGAATGACCCCCCGCCCCAAAACAGTATATATGGAAACTATAAGGCAGTGCAGGATAACATCCCAAGAATTTGCTAAATGGCCAAAAGATTAGGAAAACAGAGGAGAAGAAAGAGAGCAGGGACTGGGGAAATGCTTCAGTGGGGAACAGCAGGTTTTCCATCCTCATGCACTGAGATATGACTCACTGCTTTTCAAGATTTTGTCCCCCATTCCATTAAGTTGCTAAGCAACAATCTTAGTCACGGACTCCGGAGGCAAAATCTTCAACCTGTGCCAGACAAGGAAAAAATAAAAACCCCAGAGTGAAGCAGTATGTCAGATTAAACAGTCACAAAAAAGTCGAGATTTCCAAGACCCCGTGGAGAAGGGCAGAGAAGATTTTTAATACAATGTTTATTTATAGAGATAATGAGTCATGTTTTTGCCTCACCAAGAGTGCAGTCATACTGTATTGGTTGAATGGGTGTGTATTTTTAAATTAGAAATTCCACTTCATTGTGAAATGCAGCAGGACCAATTAGCATCAATTGCTGGAATAATAATTTGTTACAGTATTATTTACATAAATTACATAATGATTTATTATTTATGTATTCTAATATCTATGTTTAAATATTGACTATTATATTTACATTCTGTTGCTATAGTATGGTTAATTATCTTCCTGTGAGGAAGATGTTCTTTGATGTAAAATGTACTGGAACAAGCTACCTTTGATTATATACACAGATTAAAGCATTTTTGTGATTGGTGTCTTTCTACTTCAGTGTAGGAAGATGTGGACCAAAAGCATCATTTCAAAGAAAATTGCAAAATTTGAATTTCAAAGCTTCCTAGTCCCTGTAGGCCTGGCAGTATGCTTTTGTTTTGTTTTCTGTATTTTAGTGAAGGGGATGGGGATGCCCTGGGCTTTGTTTTTTTTATACCCTGCTCTGAAGTGGAGAACTGAAAGACACTACGTATATTGAAGAAAAGATAGATTTCTGTAGGAGTTTATGTGTACATGTTTGTGCATACACATTTCTACACATGTGTTAATACACAAATGTTCAAATTCATATCTGCATTATATACCCAGAGGAATGATAATAGGTGTTCAATAAAAAGAAAAGCAATATCATTAGAATGGAATATGGAGATTTTTAAAAAGTCTTTTGCTTCAACCAAACTGAGTCTCCATAGGAAATTACTAGACAAAAGGCATATTTGCCAGTACTCTGTACCTCTCCCAAATTAAGTATCTATCTGATACAATATTGAAGCAGGTGTTGAAGGAAAGTCTCATTAGTGAAAATCCCCTTATTTCTACTGTGATTGTCCACTGAATTCAACTCTTTTTTTTAGTAATGTTCATCAGGTTGGTTATTAATCAAAATACCATATTTTAAGACTAATAGCAGTTCTCATATGTGCTCATGTAAATGCTTCTAGGATTCATGATTACGTAACTAAATGATTTTTTTTGAGATGCACATCTCACCTCATAGTAGCAAGATCAAACTATAACTCCCTTTTTGGGATATAAAGGAAACCCTGATTTAAAGTAACCACAATACAAAATGCAATCTCAGGAGAAGAGAGGGGATAGGACAAAGAGCTTGTAGGCACAGTGGCCATTCTTAGTTTAATAGCCATTTTTAGTTGCACTATAAATCCAGACATTATATTTGTTTACAGTTATTTAAAGATCTATAACATATAACTAGTTATAATTGCCTTTTTAAAAATAAAAAATACCAACTCTTTGTTTCTCCTTTTTCTTTTTATCTGTTAAAAAACCAAAAGACTTTTTGATGAAAAGACCTTTGCCACTTATTAGAATGTTCTTTTTCCTAACATGTAAATTTCAGATCTGTCTCCTAACTTGTCTGTCTCCTAACTGTTTATTTCTTGTAAGGATAGCCCAGTAAGAATGTATTTTTAATATCTCATGAACATTTGTAATAGTTGCTCCAGAAGATCCTAGCAGAAAAGTGGACGGTGATACAATTATTTTTACTGATGTGCAAGAAAGGTCAAGTGCTGTTTATCAGTGTAATGCATCTAATGAATATGGATACCTACTGGGAAATGCGTTTGTGAATGTTTTAGGTAAGACTATGGGTTATCTTTTGTTAAAGTAGAAAACTAGCAACCATTATAGTTTTATTGTGTTATGGTGTATTGTTTTTATTGTTTACTGTTATTGCTTAACGTTTTGATTTGCTTTATAATGTTATGTGTATTGTTATGCTGTTGTTTTTATTGAGGCCTTGGCCTTTGTAAGCCGCATCGAGTCCTTCGGGAGATGTTAGCGGGGTACAAATAAAGTTAATAATAATAATAATAATAATAATTATTATTATTATTATTATTATTATATATGGTTTTCTCTGTCATTCATTGTTCATTATGTAATCCTATAAATGTTTCCTTAGAATTTAACTCCGCAAATAACTTTTGGGCAGATTGAAGATTTATTAAAAGATACATAAAATACTATATGACTTGGGTCCGGGCTATCTAGGAGCCCATATCTTCATGTCTTAGCTGCCTGGGCTCCAAGATCATCTGGAGAGGCCCATTTCTCAGTTTGTAAGCCCGGCTGATAGAGATGCAAGAAAGGATCTTCTCAGTGGCTGCCCCTAGACTTTGGAACTCCCTTTCTCTACTGTTTATTTTCATCAGCAGGCTAAACTCTTTTTAAAAATAACCTTTTAAAATAATAAACCATGAGCTCTTTTAGGCAACAGCTCCATGATCCTAAACAACTGGAAGTACTAATTAATTTAATTAGTGAAGAGTCAACATAATTTGCTTTTAAGTGTGTGGTCTTAATTTAATTGTTAGTGCCAATCATAAATAAATCACATGGAACACTACTCTAAAACACATAGAACATTTAAATCATCTGGAAGATTACTGTGGTTGGGACTTATAGCTGGATGTGTTTAGTTAATTCATGTATAGACTACCTTTCTCCCAAGGCAAATTGCATTAATTTTAAAGGATCAGATAAAACATAAGCCCAATTATTTAAAGGAATTGAACATCATAATTATTTTCAAATATAATTAAAACATAATTTAAAACAGCACATCACTTACACATACTACAATTCCATTATTAAAATTCACACTTGAGAAGCCTGCCTAAATATAAACACCTTCATCTTCCAATGGTAGGAGAGCTGGGAGGGAACAAATTGGACCTCCCACTGGAGAGAACCCCGCAGTCTAGAAACAGCCATAGAGAAGATTCTCTACCAAATTCTTGTCAAGCAAGCCTGTGAACATGGACTGAGAGAAAGCCTCTTCCCTTCAGATCTTCGCACTTGCCCTGGCTTATATAAGGGGAACATGGTCTTTCTGATAGTCTGGACCCAAGTGTTTAGGGCTTCAAAAATCAAAACCAACACTTTGATTCTGCATGAAAATGGACTGGTAGCCTCCATGTGGCTTGTGTGTTTTGGATCAAAGTTGAGATACCCATTTTCCTTGGTTCCTATTCATAGTTCACTGCTCTCTTCACCTCTTCTGCCACTTGCATTTTCGAAGTGGCAGATAGTTTTATATTTAATACAAGCCATGTTTGCGAGTGAAAGCTATGCATGCACTAAAAGTCATTTATTTCAGGAAAGCTATGAAAGAAGAAAATAATTATATAACTGTTCTGGAAATCTTATAAATCAAATTAATGTGATACTTTTCTCAAAGTACACAGAGTTTTTGTGGCTCTGTGTTCTCATTTTTATCCGAACAGTTTCTAAACTGCCCAGATATTGTAAATATGAAATAACATCCAGCATATACAAAAAGGGCTCACAATTTTGTTTTTCTGGGCAGCTTGAGTGCACATCTAGGCTTGAGTGCAAATTTGAAATGCTTTTTCATTATTATTTACAGTAATTGTATTACATCTTCCCAGGAAAGATAAAGGAAACAGTATCTTGGTTTATTGTCTTACTTTCACACCAACCTCCCAATCACCTCTTGTAATCCCCAGAGCTTTTCACTTAGTGTTGTGCAGCAAAGTCAGAGTGCAACATACAGCATGACGGGCAAAATAAATGAAAGAATAGAGCAGGAAGAAAGCTTGCAATGTGCTGCCTAATAATTGTGTTTGGTTTTTTATCCTATGAATTTTATTGTTGGTGGTCAACCACCTTTCTCAGTGCTGACCAACCAGTATGGTAGCCTCCTTCTGAGCATCATATTTGGGTTTGCTGGTTTCTGTTTATCTTTTCCTTGTCATCAATTAGTTTGCATGCCAATTATGCAGCAGTTCTTTACATAATAACCTGCATAGAATTTTTATTGTCATATAATCCTCTTACAACAGCTGAAAAACAACTGGTTTTACCAAATACAAAGATTCATACACACACACCCCCATTTCACAATTGGTACAATACTTGCGGAACCCCCAAAGGTACAATACTTTGGGGGGGGGGTGTTACAACAATAGCATTGATAGTAGGGGGGGTGGACTATTGTGACTAAAGGTGCTGTTTTTTCTTTGAGTGTTGTAGGAGCCACTTCTGAACTTGTTGACAATTATGTTTGACAATTGTTTTTGATTGAAATGTTGCATTGGAATTCAGCCGATCTTCCCTGTCAGTTTGGCTTTTTTACTCCCACATCATTGTTGTCATGCCACCCATCAAATTTTCATTTTTATATCCTTCGTATATTTATTTATTTTTATAGAATAAAATGATTTTTTCCATCCTTTTTGTTTTTATATTTCATTTGAATTTTTAATCCCATTTATTCCATTTCATAGGATAGATGCATAAGAAATTGGGCTTCCAAAAATTCATGCAGACTTTCCTTTTTTCATATACAAAACAGGAGTGGGTAGAGATGACTAGGATACAAATTTTACCTTATTTAGGGAGTTTTTCAGGGTAGTAGTGTAACATAAATTATATGTAACATTGTAAAAGCATCAATTATGACAAGATCTTCTTTTAAATATAATCAGCTTGAGAGGGGTTTTTAAGCTTTATTGTGTAAATAAACCTAACAATACTGTTTCTGGAAGCTATTTTGGGCCCATTTTGGGAGAAAGGTGGCATTTTTTCTACCGATTTTCTTACCTCTGATCATGGTATGATATATTTGAGGTGTTTTAGATCACTTCTCAAGACAACCATATGCAAGTAGTTAATAATATCTTCTTCTTCTTCTTTTTTGATTTCTCAGTATGTATAATTTATGGCAGTTAGCACACAGTTTAAAAATTCACCAACACACCAATAGTACTCCCCCTCCCTTTCAGGAAAATAAAACATACTATGATTGTTAAAGCTAGATGACAGTCTAATTTTTAGAACCGAAAAAATAATATCTTCATACTTTTTTCCCCATTTTAGCTGAGCCTCCAAGAATCCTCACTCCCTTAAACACACTTTATCAAGTTATTGCAAATAAACCTGCTCTGCTAGACTGTGCTTATTTTGGTTCACCTGTGCCTGAAATTGAATGGTAAGTAACTTACAACATAAAAACCTTAAAATATCATGTTAATATATTGTATTTACACTACATGAAATACTGATGCAGCTTTGTTAACTTTGGAGTATAAATGTCTAGTAAAAGCTACTCATTATCCTCAGATGAGGTTGTGAAGGAATACATACACTGGAATACGTATTTCTGCTTTTTTTAAACTAGGTTTAAAGGAGTGAAAGGTAGTATTCTCCAGGGAAATCAATATATTTTCCATAAGAATGGAACACTGGAAATTCCTGTAGCCAAGAAAAATAGTGGTGGCACATATACCTGCGTAGCAAGAAATAAACTAGGAAAGGTTCAAAATGAGGTCCAATTACAAATCAAGGGTAAGAAAGCAAGCCTGAGTTACAAAATTCTGATGTGCAAATTTTACTGATTTACATCTGTTAAACAGCCATCTTAATAGCTATTTTTATGTTTCAGAGCCAACAGTGATTATTAAGGAGCCGGAATATAAAGTTGTACAAAGAACTGGACAGGTTTCATTTGAATGTATAATTAAACACGATACTACCTTAATACCCACAGTTACATGGTTGAAAGAAAATAATGAATTGCCAAATGATGAAAGGTATGTAGGAATTTTCTTTTTCAGTCTGCAAGATAATAAAAGTTGTATGACTAAACTTATTCATAAAAGTATGCATTTCAACGCATGTGGGGTAGTATATTTCTTATGAACACTTAATATCAACACATGGTTTATTCCCTTTATTTTAGACGTTTTTTGTAATATTGATTGCAAATATTCATAAGTGGCAATGAATAAATATGGAGACAGTGATCAACCTTGTAGCTCTTGTTAATTTAAACCATGGCAAAAGATTCTTGAAGTTATTGGATTAAGGCAAAAACATCCAAGTCTTGAAAAGAATACGGTCATTTTCAAAATCCTTTTTCATGTTGATAGTCAATTTATGGTTTTGAAATTCTTCCATAAATCATTTTTAGTTTAGCAACCATATTAGATGATCTTCTAAAAACTTCCAGTATATATTCAGATGTCAATTTTCTATTTAATCCTAAACATTTGTCAATAGTTAAATGCAGGAAGTAAGTAAATGTATTGTGATTTCAGGTTTATGGTTGGTAAAAACAACTTGACCATTATGAATGTCACAGATAAAGATGGTGGAGTATATACTTGCATAGCTAATACTACTCTGGACAGTGTATCAGCAAGTGCTGTGCTCACAGTTGTTGGTAAGGTTTCTTTTAATATATATTGGAGTAAACACAATGTTGCAGTTTACTGTGAACAATGTACTAATATGATGTTCTGGAAATTTTTGTTTTCCTCATAAGTGCAGAAATATATATTCCATAGTGATTTTTAAGTTACTGGTAGAACCATAAATTTGTTTTTCAAGTACAAGTGTAAGCCATAACTCCTTGAGACTCTACATCAAATCCATAGGGCTAAATCCCCCTACAGGTTGACGTTCTCTAAAAAAAAGTTATTTCTGATGGTCAAAGATTATGTGAGACGGGATATCAAGGCTAGTAGTGAAATGGCAATATCTGTAGAAATAGGATTGTCTGCAACATGATCAGTTGTACAAAGTTTCATAACATGCCCGTTTTTATTTAGCCTTGCTGACACCATCTGTTGCCTCATCTTATGCCCAAGGGGTATCCACTCCATCTAAATGACATTTTAGTTGTACTGTAGATCTGAAGTGAAGAGGAAGCACAGGAGGTTTCCCAACATGCATATCCTTATGCTTAGCCTACTCTAGCTTCTTAGACTTTTAAAAAGTTGTCTAGTGTATTTTTTGTTAAATGATAAGCATAACTTGAAATATGCTTTTACAGATGAAGTGGCATGTTTTTATTATATGATGTTATAAATTTGTTTAAATTTTATACTGTATATGGTTACGGCATTGAATGGCTGTCGGTTTGTAAGCCGCCTTGAGTCACCTTTGGGTTTGAGAAAGGTGGGATAGAAATATCATAAATAAATAAATAAATAAATGTTTGAAAAGTGAAGGTGTGCCCAGAATTTGGCTTGACGTGTTTTAAAAGACGTTGCTAAAACTACAAGGGTGTGATTTAACACAGATGCACATAAGTGACTGCTGAATGTGGAAGGGCTTGCCTAAAGTCTTCTTGCATAAAGAGAGGCTTCTACCAACCTAGTTGCCTTTGTTTACAGCATAACCTATATAATGATTTTCTGCAATCCAGCTTGTTTCTGCTTGTTAAATTAGAAAAAAAATCTGTATGTACCTGTTAGGGAAAACACTCTAATGGCTCTTAATCCTTTTGATGGACTGTAGTCCTTGATAATTAATTGTACTTAATTGAATGGTTGATTATCTTCTAGTGGGTAAGAACTATTTTTGATTTATTTTAATGGTTTGAGTTAGACATAAAGAAAACACTGCTACAAGCAATGAGCTAAGCAATCCACGTGCAGAGCAATTATGTTCTGTAGGGATGTGCATTCAGCAAGGGAGTCATGTATTCTATTCCTATAGTTATGATTCCTTGAACTGGGAAATTCATATATGAGACAAATAAAGAGACTTTAAATAATGATAAAGAAACTATTACAGTTTAGTGAGTTGGCCATTTCAGGAAGAAAGCAAAAAGTATCTACACAGTTTGCCACCTCTTTGTGAAAGTTTGTTCACAACTAACTTGAATAGGTATCATTAATTTTATGTGCCATTTTTCCAGCCCTAATCTCCAGTACATGATTAGAAGCTATTTTTCCATATGCAATAACTTGGCTTTATAATATTTCATCTCTAATAATAACCTAACTGTACAGTTCTGTGTTTTCTAGCTACTAACACTGATTATATACTTTATATTAATATCCCCTTTCAGCTCCTCCAACACCTCCTCCTGTTGTTTACGGTAAACGAATAAAAAGTCTTTGTTTGAATCATATACCAAATATTCCTAAATAATATTCTTATTTCAAGTTAAAGCTTCTTTCTTTTTTCTTCATTACATTTTACAAATTTAATTTGGATCAAATAAAAGTTTAGTGTATCGTTATCATTATACTCATTTGTAAATGCTTAAACTGTTTCAGTATTATGGTTAAAGACAACCTGATAATCAGGTTGAATACTTCGAATAACAAAAGTTATTTTTCTTATTTATTGGCTAAATACCCTAAAGGCATCTGATCCAATCTATTGTAGAAAGCTAAAGCAGGGTTAGCTCTGTTTAGCACTTCGATGGGAAACTACCAATTAATATGGGAGTTCTGTAAGTGATATTTCTGAGGAAAAGACTAGCAAAGCCACCTCTGAGTATTCTTTACCTAGGAAGACCTTTATGAGGTCGCCACAAGTCAACGGGCAATATGAAAGCATATACAGATAAATAATATTCCATAATTAAGTACCATTCAGTTTTCTCTTGAAGCCTTGTGTATGCTTTCAAAGTGTTCTGTTTTTTTTTCTTCTTTACAATTTCAAAGGAGAATGCAACAATGGACGTATTCACCCCTCTATCAGGTGTATATCTGAGCATTTAAGACCCTTTGACATTCGAAGTGCAAAGCAATTCTGGATGTGGGGGTTTTTTTGGTAATATTTCACCTTGAATTTTCTCAGGCATTCAAGGTACATAGATATGGTACCAGACACTGGCACATTGCAATTGGGAAACCATTTCAGATAATCTAATATGCACTGCCCTAGATAATTCTCTCTTTGAGGATTTAAAACTGTAGAATTATGAATTCTGGTTGAAATGTTGATTAAGTATAGTTAGCATATTCTACCCAAAAGAAACTTTGCCTCCATTACTTTGGCTGCCATGAACTTCAAGAACTCAGAATTCAAGCTGATTTCTTAATTGAATGCCACAGTTCATTTGTTTATTATATGCATGGATTAGTTTCACAATCCTCATCTGCTTTTTCAGTTTGCCAAGATCTAATTTCTTCAAGCATGAACAAGGGTCAGCTAGTTGATATACCATTAGTTATGTCTTAGGCTATATCCAAACTTTTTTTTTTATGTCAGGAGCGACTTGAGAAACTGCAAGTCGCTTCTGGTGTGAGAGAATTGGCCATCTGGAAGGACATTGCCCAGGGGACACCCGGATGTTTTGATGTTTCACCATCCTTTTGGGAGGCTTCTCTCATGTCCCCACATGGGGAGCTGGAGCTGACGGAGCTAATCCGTGCTCTCCCCAGATTCGAATCTCCTGTCAGAATTCAGTCCTGCTAGCACAAGGGTTTAACCCATTGCACCATTGGGGATTCCTGTATCCAAACTTTAGAATTATAACAGTTTGTCACCATATTAACTGCCATGGTTCAGTTTTATGTAGTTTTGTGAGAACTTTATTCTTCTCTGCTAGATAGCTCTGTTACCACAACAAAGTACAAATTCCAGTATAAGATGAAACCATGGCAGTTGAATGTGTTGCTGTAATTGTACGGTATGGATGATCAGTTAGTGTATTTAGCAGTTTGATACCACTTTCAATAACATGACTATATCATACAGAGTACTTGGATTTGTAAATTGATGGGATAATTACAATTCTTAACTGAACTAAATAACTTACCAAACTTCAAATCCCAATATTCTGTAGGATGCAACTATGCTAGAAAAGTCCCTTTCAGCTACAGCTTCCAAAATATCCCATTCTACAATCACTTTCAAGCCTGCAATATCATTGCATGGGTGGCATTTATTATTTCTCCCTGAAAGAGTACCATATAAGTGGCATTGGAATGTTTATTTAGGACAGGAATGAGCAACTTGTGGCTCTCTCTGTGCTGTTAGACCAGAAGTGTCATATGTACTGGCTAGCATAACCAGTAGTAAGACATGTACTGTTAAATCCTAAATCAGTTAATTTCCTCTGATCCACTGAATCAATGGACCCATGACAAGTATTGACTTATAAAGTTTCTAATGTTTTAGTAGGTGTTTTCTAGTTGGGACTACTTATTGTATTTAAATTGTAATGTCTGTGCCATACATGCAGAAATAAATTTTGAAGGTATGGTGATATGCCAGAATAGCAGAACAGTTGAAAACTGGGGCGAGAACAGTTCAGCTTTCTGTTGCTCCCAGAATTACTACTTGTTATGATGCATATTTAGTGGTATCTAATCATATCAAGAGGGCCACCTCCAATTTTTAAAAAGTGCAGTACACGTTTTTTGAGTGGATAATTACAGAATACATTGGTGATATATCTTAGCAACATAAGTTCACAGAAATCTGTATTTCAGATATCCCAACTTACAATAATTTAAATTGTGGCACGGAGTGGCCAGGGTTCTGTTTATTCATTTTACCCTTATAGATTGCCTCGTATAACTCCTCATCATTCCCTCACAAAAAGCTGGTTGTATCATCCTTTGTGGGCCAAGACCTTAGACCAAGCCTCACATTGGCCACAAAGTCTCATAAGACTTAGTCGGATTTCAGTACTCATATATAGGCCTCCTAACTTTTTAGTCAGGCATTTTAACTATCAAAGGAGGTAGTTTTGGATGACATGCCTGGGGGATTGCAATTAAAAACAATTGTTATTATTAGAAAGCTGGCCTTGTCACAATACTTCTAATACTATAATCCTGAAACAGTTTTTTGTGGATATGGATGGTGTTTATTTTCCTTTTTGTTTAAAACAGGTTCCATGTAAAGTAGTTCTCAGATCATGACCATTAATCATAAACTGAAACTGCTGGTGAACTTCTGCTACTTCTTAACTTTCAAGTTATTTCTTAAAAAAAGAAAAGAAAATCTGTCATTGGAGTTCTTACAACAATTTTTCCTTCCCTTTCACATTGTTTCCCAGCAAAATCGGTTATTGATTTTCATTGCAGTTGCATGCTTATCACTAAACCATTTTTCCATGGTGTAAGTGGGTGTATTTAGATTTTCTCTATAAAGTCACCACATCTTTATCTTCATTTGGCCTACAGATCGTCCTGATCCACCATTTGATTTGGAATTAACGGACCATCTAGAAAGGAGTGTTCAGCTCTCCTGGATTCCGGGCAATGACAATAATAGTCCTATTACAAGTACGGTTTGCTGTACTTAATGGAATCTAATTTCATGAAATAGAATATTTTTTAAGAACCGAAACACCCCTTTCATTTGAAGAGTATGTCTCTAGTTTTATGAAGTATGCCATTCCATTGTAATTTTCTTGGCCTAAATCCATTTGCTAGTCCTAATTAAAGTAAATACATGGACTCAGTTGAGAATTTTGTAAGTCAGCAGGTCAGCTTTAACTGAGGCTAGCAGTTCAATTGTGGTTCTTCTTAGCAAGACAATGTTATGCCCTTTTGTGAAAGATGTAAGCCTACATTATGTTGAGGGCATAACCCAGGAAACATGGCTTCTAAAATATATTTTACAGTTACAGTTCAAGTGAGTAATAGAAAATGTATATCAGAACTAGAGCTTTCAGTTTGTTCTATATAACTATCTTAAAATAATTCTATGTGACTTGAAACAAAGTAATGCATTTCTTTCTCTTTCTCCATAGAATTCATTATTGAATATGAAGATGCGATGCGTGAGCCAGGGATCTGGAACTACCAGACAGAAGTCAATGGGATCCTCACAACTACACAGTTAAAGTTGTCACCCTATGTTAACTATTCATTTCGTGTAATAGCTATAAATGATATTGGAAGAAGCCAGCCAAGTGAAGCCTCTGAACAATATTTTACAAAAGCTGCAAGTAAATAAACACCATCACTTACTATTATCAACTAAGATTATGAATTGTATAGAATTGGTCTACACATTTATTATTCAATCATTTCTTTTACTAAAAAAATGCATGTTTAATTTCTAGAGCCCGATGACAATCCTACTGATGTTCAAGGGATTGGATCAGAACCTGATAATTTGGTGATTATGTGGGAGGTAAGGATTTTTTTTACTCAAATATGAAGATGTCAAGATATCTCTGAAGACACTATAATTGGCATTGCTTTTTCTTAAACATCCAGGGAAATGCCCACAATGTCAAGTGGAATTCTTCTTTAGATACATGTATAGTCTTGTGCAATACACCCTACTGAAATTCTATTAAACATGTAGTTATCTAGCCATAGGGATTGACCCTGTAGTCCTTCAGACCTAATTTGGTTAAAGAACTCTCACAGAACTAAAACTAGTAAGCATTTCATGATATTGTTGCCCTAACGGTGTTCCTAAATCCCAGCCTCTTGGTGTATATATTTATTGTATTTCTAACAAATAAACAAAAAACACCTGAAATAAAAAATACCGAACAGATACATGATTAGATATCTGATGTCTATCCTTGGATTTTTGTGTGTGGCTACTGGTGCAAACATAGAGGGCTGGCAAATACTAAAAACAATTATTTCAGCTCATGGGAGCACGTTTTTTGGCTCTTGAGTGTTTTGAGAAATGTGAAATACTCTTGAATCTGCACATTCACACAGAAACATTCTCCTATGGACATGAGGTATTTTTATACGATAGAATGCTATGGAATTTGAACTGAAATAAAAAAAATACCTTGAATTGAGACACTATTATAGACAATATGTAAATTTGAGGTCAAAATAAACTTACTTAAAACTGCTCATGAATTGCAAAATTATAAGGTAGTGTCTAGGTTTTCATTTTTGCCACCCAATGCCTTTATTTTTGTTCTATGTCTTTTAGTTGGGGCAGAAATTATATTATTGTCAGAATTTGCAAATAACTCTGCCTGAAGACGACAACAGGGTAAAAATCCTTCAGATCAATAAATTATGGAAATAGTTGTGAGAGAAAGGTTTTGGTCTTCTTAGGATTGTGAGAGATATCCAGTTTAATAGATCTTGATTACTTTTATAATCCTAGGTGAAGTATAATAGATAAAGTGATAAATAAAGAGAAACAAATGCCAAGTAAACAGGGTGGGTTTCAATAAATTCTCTATAACTAATTTGATGTATCAACATGAGAAAAACAATGGGAACCTGTCTTTTTATACACATCCCAGCTTATCTTCTCCACCCAGACTATCAGTTTTTCCTCTTGCATTCTCCCTTGTCATTAATGCCTTTAGACACCCAAGTGCTCCATGAAGGCACCTCAGCTTTTCCTCCCCACTCTGATAACCAATCTTCCTCTCTTTCCCATCCTACCACAGAAGCAGAGTGCCATAGAATAGCTTCCACCATGGTTCTCTCATAAGATATGAGGGAGGAAGTAGATGAGCCATGCTGTCCATTTCTAATATAGTATTTTTGTTTTGTTTTTTTAAATGATATGATTATTATTATTGATCTATGGTTAGTTGAATCACGGGTGCAAAGCCCATGTATATGATCTTTATCCATTTTATATTAGCCTAGTCCTTTTATGTTCTGTAAATTGGGTGGCTAATTTTTCATCAGTGCCTTCATTTAATTTTCATTTTAGCCTTTAAAACAATTTCAGTCCAATGGTCCTGGGCTTCGGTACAATGTTAGCTGGCGGCAGAAGGATGGAGATGATGAATGGACATCTGTTGTAGTTGCAAATGTATCTAGGTATATTGTGTCTGGTACACCAACATTTACTCCATATGAGATAAAAGTACAGGGATTAAATGATCTGGGACCTGCACCTGAACCTACAACAGCCATTGGATATTCTGGGGAAGACTGTAAGTTTCTTATGATGACTTAATTTATTTTTGGCAGAAATGTTATTTTGGGGGTTATGCATTAAAACTATCATCCTAAAGCTTTAGTAGTCATAATACAGAGAGTCCCCGACTTGCAAACGATTCATAGTTAAGAACGGGGGTGAGACAACAGAAAGTGAGAGAAATCTATCCCATGGAAAGGAAATTCAATCTTGAGATATTAATTATGGGCAAAAGGTGTCTCCACTTAAGCTATATCGCCAATCCTTGTTTCTACAACAAGCAAATTTTTTTCAAAATCCAATTATCACAGTCAGGTAAAATCTTCTGAAAAGGGCCCAGATAGCAAAACAAACACCACATGGCTGTTAACCCTATATGTCTATGGCTGGAGTTACATTTAAAAATGTATGTGTTCTGACTCCCATACAAATTCAGTTTAAGAAGAAACCTACAGAGCCTATCTTGTTCTTAACTTGGTAATGTCCTGTACTGTAGTAATAAAAATTAATATTAATCGATATACTTTATCAATATTAATATTAAATTAGTAGTAGTAGAAGAAGAAGAAGAAGAAGAATTAGTACAGCAGTCTAAATTTAACATTACTGCTTCATACGCACAGAATCAAAATAGTACAAAAAGCTAAACCTATTATTTTTACACACAAGGCAAAAAGTCTTTCCACTTTCTTGACAGTAAGATAAAATGATTGTAAATTTTAAGAAAATGTGATGCCCCTTCTTGGCATTCAAAATCTGATGCTTGAAGCAACCACCTCACCCTGGGTAATGGCAAGACCATTCTTGTGCAATACTGGATGACTTCAAGCAAGCTCTAACATGAGATTTTTAAATTTCTCCCTAACAGTACCTATGGTTGCTCCAGGAAATTTGCAGGTACAAGTTGTGAACAGCACATTAGCAAAAGTTCAGTGGGATCCAGTAGCACAAAAGTACATCCGAGGCCATCTTCAGGGATACAAAGTAAGCTAACTATAGAAGATATTTAAATAATATTTCTTCTTCTTTGTTCTGCACCTAAGAGCTATGACTTATATTCTTTTTGCCTGTAGAGTAGATAAAATGTGACACACTCCACGTCTCAATAATATTATAAATGAAGCTAGCAAGTAATAACAAATCTTACTTTATTTAGCATGTGCCACTGCATCACTTGCTGTAAATCAATTGAAATAAACATAGTCCTCATTTGTTTCAATATGTCTCTTTTAAGTTTAAGTCTTGGCTCAGCCACCAAAGTAGCCTGTGTCAAACATAACATCTATGCATGCCTGTAGATAATACAATAGCACAAGCCCAGAAAAGCTCTAGTGTAAATGTTTATCTATTTTTAGATTTACTACTGGAAGGTGAAAAGCCTATCTGGAAGAATTAAGAAGCATATAGAAAAAAGGACGTTGACTTTTAGTGGAAACAAGACACATGGAATGGTGCCAGGGCTGGAGCCTTATAGTTCTTACAAACTGAATGTCAGAGTACTTAACGGGAAGGGAGAAGGACCACCAACTCCTGATGAAACCTTTAAAACCCCTGAAGGAGGTATGCAACGAGATGACTCAACTCAAAATTTGTCATTGTTGAAAGTATGTTACCTGAAATTTTCACTAATGTAAAGAAAATAGTATATGTAGAGAAAAACAAAATACCATATTTCATCGCATAATAGTCACACTTTGTATCTCTTTTTTGTTGGAATATTACATGGTGAAATATGATAATACTATCTGTAATCTTAAGCATGGTTAGAAGTAGACCCATGAAATCAGTGATGTATTTGAGTAAACAACGATACATGTAGTGCAGGCATCCTCAAACTGCGGCCTTCCAGCTGTTTGGGCCTTCAACTCCTAGAATTCCTGACAATTGAACAAGCTTGGTAGGGTTTCTGGGAGTTGGAGGCCCAAACAGCAGGAGGGCCGCAGTTTGAGGATGCCTGATGTAGTGTATGGGTCAAAGTAATCTGAACCACACAAAGTAATAACTATAAGTAAACACTTAGACCATTTATAATATCTTTTATAATATTTAATTTTTAGTTCTTTTTTATTACTATTTTTAAATGTGTCCTGTTGTTTTTTGAAGTTCCCAGTGCACCCTCCTTTTTGAAGATTACTAATCCAAATCTGGATTCTCTCACTCTGGAATGGGGCCCACCTTCTCATCCAAATGGTGTTCTGGTAGGGTATACCCTAAAGTTTCAGCCAAGTAAGTAAATAGCTTTTAAAAACAACTATGTCAAGTGCATGCTTATTAAATAGTTAATAATACCATTTGAGATGTATTGGTATTACACATGAGGAATTGCTGTTTTTTTTAAAAAAATGTGTAATGTTAGGTCTTTGGAAACCTCTCTTATATTCTTCTTGTGCATGCTTTCTGCCTCATTTTTGTAGAAGTCTGGTTGCCCAGCATCTCCCTGTAAATGCTAAGAAACAATCTCCTAATTCTTTCTATACCTCTACTATCAAAAAAGCCATGGCCGTTCTGATATAATCCACCAGACTAAACAATTTATCTCTAGGAAAGGTCCTTCTGCAGCAAACTAATTCTGTTCTCCACAGTGGACTTGACTAAATTGATCTTGATGACTGCATTGCTTGAAGGTGCAAAAACCATTTCATTCTATGTGTCACAAACTTTCTTCCCGCCTCATACAAAAGTACATCCTTCCTTTTCCATGTTAATATAAACTGTAGTCATCCAGGAGGTTAGGGGATCATTTCTTCATGTTGTATGCATGTTTAAGTCTCATCCTTTTGGTTAGTTTCCAACTAGAGTAGACCTATTCAACCATCGTTGAATGGTGAGTCTGTATTAGGTAAATCCCGTTGATTGAATTGGAAGGATTCAGGCCATGAAAGTTTATGCTTTAGTGGGCAATATCCTAGTATCAAAACCTGAATTCTAATATCTTGTCCCAACATGTTTATTATAGTTTCGACAAGTTTATCATGGACCTCAGGCTCAAATGTATATAGTGCATTTTGACATAATGTATTCCAAAATAGACATTAAGTAACTATTTTTTGTGTTTACTATGTTATAATAACAGTTAACAGCACACACGACTTAGGCCGCTTGGAAGAGATCAGTATTCCAGCTAATGAGACCAGCTTGGCATTAAGCAACTTAAATTACAGCACTCGATACAAGTTTTACCTCTATGCACAAACATCTGTTGGATCTGGAAATCAAATAACAGAGGAGGCAGTAACAATTATGGATGAAGGTAAGATGGGTATGTATAAAGATGGTCCACAAATTTGAATTATTATGCAAAATTTTATCACAAGTGAATTTTCCTACTTTTATTAGCAAGTTTAAACTGAAATATTTGTGTACCCCGATCTTAATATCTAGAAAAATTGCACATACTCATTCAACTAAAAAAAAACAAACCTTTGAATTTACTAAAACAATATTTTTGCCACTTCAAACTAATTCTACTAATGAAGCACAAAAAACAACTTTCCAGACTGAGATTTGAGAACAGGGACATGAAATCCACTTGAAAATGGTGTATGGCTATTGTTCAAGTGACTAGTGTGAAAGAATGTTCCTTCTTTCCTCTTGCCCAGTGGAAACAATTCATCAAACTATCACAATTTACTCTGATTTTGGAGTCTGGATACCTAATTTCAGCATTTTTATTTTCTGCCTATGATATGAGGTGCTTCAGTATGTAGACTGGGTGGAAGATGATACTGATCCACTCTGAACTGTGTAATCCAACGTTTTCCAATCTATAGCCTTCAGACGTGTTGGAGGAGAATCTCAACATCTGTACTGATGTTCTAACTAACAATAAGAGGACTAGTCCTCAACGTTTGGAAGGCCTTATTTGAGGAACAATGGGATAAGCTAACATGGATACTGTCTATTATTCACTGCAGTGCATGCATTCTAGCTGTTGCTTTTCAGTATCCACCACAATGTGAGTCCTTTTCAACCTGCGGCTCTCCAGATGTTCTGGACTTCAGTTCCCAGAATTCCTGACCATTGAACAGGCTGGCTAGGGCTTCTGGGAATTGGAGGCACGAACATCTGGAGAGCTGCAGGTTGAAGGTCCCAGGTTTACAAAAGAGCAGTAGGGAACAATCAGAATTGCAGAAATCCAAGGCTGAAAGCCAGAAAGTAGCTGTTAACAAGTTTGTGCTCTTAAATACTAACTGAAAATAATAATTTCAGTTAACTTTGTCATTTATTTAATAAATTCCATCTGTCTTTACGAAGGACCCACATCCAAAAATACATATGGTATTTTAAAGTAATAATAATAATAACAACAACAACAACAACAAAGAACAAGCTTTCTGGACTTAAAAAGAAGGAGGGGGCACACCTTTTAATAAAGAGCACTTGGCAACCCTAAGTGATATGCTGTAAACAACTGTAACAGAGCATCATCCTATCACAGGTCAGGCTTTGATGTCATGAGCATATTCATATTAATTCTCCTTAAAAGTAACTTTCTAAACTTATTACAATATATGGCCAAGAGCACAGAAAGCTACTATCTGGGCTTATTATTTTTTGATTGTTTAGAAAGATTTGGTAAGGTATTCCCATATTCATATACCTGCACCTGCTTACAAAGTATTGATTTTAAAAATCTATGGATATCACAGCAGAGACAGAACCAATCAACGAACGTTCCATAGCACAGCAAAATATCAAATTCGCTGTTAAAGCATTTTAGTAGAATTTTTAGTACCATTTTTAAAAAGAACATTGTACTAAAAATCTTTAAACTAGCAAAAACAAATAAGAAAACAAAAACTAGGAGGTAGTTAGACTCAATCATACCTGGACTGACCAATTTAAAAGAGTCATAATATTTGAACATTTTTCATACCAAGGATTTTTTGTGTGTGTGGTGTGATGCTTCTATTTGAGTCTAATCAAAAACCGATTGTATTGATTACAGTGGAAATTATACCCAGAGAATTTCAGAGATGAAATTTACTGTGCAGTAGTACAATATAATCAATTTTACACAATATTTCTTGTTATATAAGTAAGATGAATGCATGAATATTAACATAAGCTTTTGCTTTTAAACTGATATTTAATATGAGTGGGTGCTTAATTTCCTATTCCCTCTTTCCAAGAATTGCTGTCTAACTGCATGCTTTTGTGGTTTAATAGAAAAATGTAGATGTGTGCTATGTGTGTCTGTATTTCCTTTTGTTGTATCTAATTATAGTGTGTCTTCCTATGTTTTAATGCTGGTATTTTTCCAATTGATATAGGTCCTGGTGAAGGTAAATAAAACAGAAAATTGTGTTGTTTTGTGGGGTGGGCTGAGAGCTTTTCAATTGGTGCCTTGGAAGATCCTTGAACTGATAAAAGGAGGTTTTTTATCAGGCATTTATCATTTTCTCTAACATGGTGTGTCCTATATTGGTCTGAAAAGTAGAGGTATACATGCTTTATACCTTACCCAATAAAATGATCATTAGTTATTTAGGCTATGATGAAGAAGACCAAATGATACTATGGGAAATGACTCTTTTCTTTATGGCCGATACTTATTTCAGATAGCAGTGAACATTGTATGAAAGCTGAAAGAGGTTTGCAGGTTTCCTCTCTGACACTCTGATGGTATCATAACTCCCTTTGCTAAGTGTGAAATAGTAGAAACAACCCCAACCCATTGCATAATGCATGAGATTTAGTGCCGCCTGCCTATTGGTAGTCCTAAGCTTTCTGGAGTATGACTGCCCTCTAAAGGAAAAACAAAGTGTGGGGTTCAATTAATTATTACTGTATAGTATATATATTTGAAGAATTGCTTTGGTTCCTTTCCTCTCGCTGATATTTTGCCCAAGGTATTGTTTGGCTAATTTGCACTAAAGTAATGCCTTTCCTTATAAATAGCAGGTTCTAATGAAAAGGCACATAATGCCATAATCTGTAATACAAACCAGCTTCACAAACCATATACATGTACAGTTTGAATTCTGTTTTCAAGTATCTAGAAAGCCATTCAGCACTCTATTGAATGGCACATTTATGATGTAGAATTATTTCTGAGGATTGTTCCTCTTAATCTGTTGTTGATCAGTTCTACTGTTTATCCAGTAACATAGGTATGCAAGTCTACTTACACATACCTACATGCTGTGTAGCATGCATCCTGTGTAGCATACAGTTACCACAGAGAATTTCATATACAGCTAGAAAGTAGAACTCTGTGCGAAAACAAATAGGTGTTATTAAAGCTCAATTTTGTTAACACTTCACCCATTTTCTCAGATGGTTAGTTATCTTGGTTTTTAGCCTGAAGGTTCAGTGGGCATATAGCTTACAAATTAGAACAGAAGACAAATGCTAGCATAAGCCAGTCACCTTATTATCCAGCCCACCGGCATTTACACTCCTAGTAAAATGATGATTTCATGTGTTAACAAATATATGATATCCAATTGTTTTCCTGCAACTTGCACAATTTTATGGATCCATTCTATTATCAATTGACAGCTATTTACAGGTTGGGTTGTTGTAGGTTTTTCGGGTTATATGGCCATGTTCTAGAGGCATTCTCTCCTGACATTTCGCCTGCATCTATGGCAAGCATCCTCAGAGGTTGTGAGGTCTCTTAGAACTAGGAAAAATTGGGTTTATATATCTGTGGAATGTCCAGGGTGGGACAAAGAACTCTTGTCTGATGGAGCTAGGTGTGAATGTTTCAACTGGTCACCTTGATTAGCATTTGATAGCCTGGCAGTTTTTTGGTGTGGCTTGTTAGTGCCTGGGGGAATCTTTTGTTGAGGGCTGATTAGCTGTCCCTGATTGTTTCCTCTCTGGAGTTTCCCTGTGTTTGAGTGTTGCTTTGCTGTTATAATTTTAGAGTTTTTTAATACTGGTAGCCAGATTTTGTTCATTTTCATGGTTTCCTGCTTTCTGTTGAAATTGTCCACATACTTATGGATTTCAATGGCTTCTCTGTGTAGTCTGACATGGTGGTTGTTGGAGTGGTCCAGCATTTCTGTGTTCTCAAATAATATGCTGTATCCAGGTTGGTTCATCAGATGCACTGCTATGGCTGACTTCTCTGGTTGAAGTAGTCTGCAGTGCCTTTCATGTTCCTTGATCTTTTGATCTAAACCTACTCTTAATAAACTGTTACTGAAAGTAATGAAAACGGAGTTAGTTGTGAATGTTTTCCTGAGAGCATCACTATACATAATTTCTTTGAAATAAATCCCATGGAAGTTATTAGTGGTTACTGTAAGGTGAATTTGGATAGCGTTGCAATGAACAATTGCATCTGCATTGTAGAACTATTGCAGCATGACACCACTTCAGCTGCCATGACCAATGCTGTGGTATTAAAGTTTATTTTATTTATTTATTTACTTTATTTTATTTACTTTATTTATTTACCGCTTTTCTCAGCCCTCAGGCGAGTTGCGATGTTATAAAGTCATCAGCCTTCTGTTCTAAAAATAGCTGGTGCCTCACCAAGCTATAACTCTGGGATTTCATAACATTTAATATTTTCTGCCAAGAAAAGATATGATAGTTGGATTAATGAGATCATTAAGATGGTTATAGGAAAGAAAAATAATTTGACCAAGAAGGAAATATAGTTATTTAGCTCCATTCATGTTGAAAGGAAGTATACAAGTCATGTCTAGATTCAAATTGAGATATGTCTTTTACAATCATGGCAATCAGAAACCAGTTCATAAAAGAAGTATTGGCTGATACTCTAAATCAGGCATGGGCAAAGTAAAGCCCATGGGCCAGATGTGGCCCCCTGGGTGCTTACTTCAGGCCCTCCTCATTTTCTCTGCCCTCTTGGCAGAAGGACACAGCAGCTTGCCACAAGCAGCCCTATCCTTATGCCAGGAGGATGGCTCGAGGAAGGCACACAGTGACTGAGAGCCCCCAAGAGCATTTTCACCTGCCACCTGTCTTGCCCTTCTTCTGGCGTAATGCCAAGAGGACAGTCTGAGGATTGAGGGAGGAGAATCGGGACAGTTTCAATGTGGTCCCAAGGCTAAAACGTTTGCCCATGCCTGCTCTAAATGGAAAATGTTAACCAGATATTTCAAATGTAAAATGTTCATCATCCCCTCCTTTCCCCTCTCCATTCTCCGATTGCCTTTGCACCCTGGCCAATATTCCAGTTAATAAGCAACAGCCACCAGTCATTTTGTGGTTGGTGGTCGTTGCTATGGTGAGAACAAGAGGGAAGCTCTGGAGCATCCTATGACTTCTTAAACACAGTTTAAGGCTGCATTAAGCAGCCTTAGCCTGTATTAAGTTGATTCAGCTCCGCATGTCATGTAGACGCCACGGAGCAAATTTGTGCCCCCTTTTGGGGTTGTGTCCGTGTAGATGTTCCCTAAATAAAATGTGATGCTATGGTGTAGAACCTTTATCATTTTTAATTTCTAAGGATGCCTGTGGAGCTCATATATTCTTGGGGGGGGGGGGGGGGGGAGGATGACATTGAAACTTGCATTCAAAAATGTCCAAAAGCTACCTTTTGCATTTTCTAATACCCAAGAAGATGAGCCTTTCTCTGAATCATATTTCCTGTTTAGCCCTCATTCATTTCACTGGGAGTGTTATTTGTTTCATACCATTTTATGACATCTCAAGGGAATTCATTTTAAAATGGCCAAATGATCATAGAAAAGTATTAAATTGTATTTTCTTCCCAGTTCTTCAACTACTCTTTCCCTCCCCTACTCTATTGATTGTCTCAGTCTGTCTTGACTTTAGCAAGAATTTCAGCAAAGTTTCCTGTAACCTTGTTGACAAGTTGATAACATGTTGGCTAGACAATGTTAGGTAGATTTGTGACTGGTAAAGACCATATGCAAAAAGCTTATTAATATATTTCTGCCGATTTGGAGGAGAGTGTAGTGTCCTGAAGCCAGTGTTGTTAGATAGCTTTATTAATTACTCAGAAGAATAGAGTCAGATGCTTTCCAAACTGGGATAAATGAGTAACTTCACAGCAGACACAAATAAGCATTATATGGTTTTGACAAGGTTCAGAACTTAACCAAAATCAAGAAAATGAATTTCTAAAGAGAAATATGAAATTTTGTAAATATTTAAGAAAACTCAGATGCACAAGACTAGAATAGATTCAAAATGCAGGGAAGGCTATCCTCACAAAGGTTCAACAATGGAAGTGACTGGGAATACATTTTATATTATGGTTGAGATCACTCTTTCTTCCATTTTAAAATAGTATTGCAGATCCAGTTCCTGAGATAATCTCATTGTAGGACTCGAGATGAGACTGTAATACCCTTTTCTGAATAGGCTGTAATTCTGTCTAGGACATATTTTTAAAGAAAAACCAATACTGTATTAGAAACAAATTTCTTTTGCAGGCTAAGAAATGTTATAATGATATGTTCAGCTAAGTGTACTCAGTTGGTACAGTCTTTTCCAACATCATTTTGGCTCAGCCATTTGGTGGTCAAATTTATAACCTGTCTGTCCATTCTGCACCATGTTCAAAAATGTAATAATGAATGTAATGTGCTATGCATTGCACCTACAGGGTGAGGCAGCATAGCATAACTTCCTTTTTTCAAAACTTAATAAAATCCATTGTATGAATCAGATTTTTTTTTATAATGTAGGTGCATACCTAAAGTTTTGTTTTACGTAGTTTTGACGATCAAATTAGGTAGGTGGTGTCCCCCATTCTCCATACACTGAGTAATCCGATTTCTGGCGTTTGTCATGACTTTTGCCAGCATAGCAGGTGTTATGTTGGGAATTTCTTCCTGGATGTTGGTCTTCAAATCTTGCAGGGTCCTTGGACGGTTCACATAAACACTGGATTTCAAAAAACCTCATAGAAAAAAATCACAAGGAGCCAAATCTGGAGAGCGGGCCGGCCACTCCAAATCCGCTTGAAAAGTAGGCCTCAATGGCAAAAGCACTGTGCCAACCCATGATGGCGACTGAACTGTGTCAGGACAAAACTTTATACTCCCGCCTCTCAAACGAGACCAGTAGTGCTCTGCTACATCTTCAACCGACTGAATGGCGCGCATTTTAAAAAAGGAAGTTATGCTGCCTTACCCTGTACAATATTTTTATCTATGGGAGTGGTGAGGCATAACATGATTGGTCTTCCAGGGTAGCTTGTAAAGTATAACAGTGACTTTTATGCTCCTCTTTCCTTTTATAATTTGTTTTCCTATTGTATCAAGTACAATGTGCATGGATATTCATGCATGCATGTATTGTTTTCTTAATGTAGAAGATGGTACTGTGATGTTTAAACCTTTTTATTATGCAAAAATATTTTACTCTTTGTTTTCTTCTTTCCTGCATTGTCTGATGAAGGATATTCAGAGAACCTTTTTGAAACCTCCCCTGTCATGCTCACTGTACCTTCAACATTTTATAAGGGTATTACTATTTATTTTATCCATATAAGTGCCATGGAAACAGCTGAGATGTTACATTCCACAAAACGAAACAACATGAAAGACGTTCTGGAATGTACAAGATAACACGAAACTAGGAAATCATTATGCCTGCATGTCTCTCTGTCTTTTCCATAAACATGTAGAATTAAATCTAATTTTTAGATATAATTTTAAGAATTGGCTTATTTTCAGTCTCTAGTTCATAAAATACCATACATACCTATTCCTGTTTATGTGGGCATGCCCATTTAATTTGATGAGATATATTCTCAAAGGATTTTCAAAGTTCCATGTATAAATAGATCATGTGCCAGCATGCTAATTACCACAGTTTAATAGACTGTGAAGTTGTCCACTGTGTTTGGACAGACTAGCAACATTTGTCCATTGCTTGTCTACCAATTTTAGAATTGCTAATTTTCCAGCAATTCAAGAGTGGAACAGACCTCAGGGAATTACCTCCTCTCTGTTTCAAGGCAGGGTCCTCTTTCCAAAATAAAACATTATAAGCTCAAACTAGTATTAACAAACTGTAGAAGATGTCTTTTTTCAGAAGTCAAAACAGTCTGTCACTCTTGTTTTGTTTTTTGCTAATTTACACCAGTACTACTCAAAGCAGTGGCTCACAGACCAGTGCCCATTCAAGGACTATCACCTGCCAGTCCTCAGTGACTTTCCAGGAAACTTTGCAAATAAAAAAATAGCATAGCATTGATATGGTACTAGTCCTTGGCACATGATGGCAGCTCTTGAAATAACTCAAGAAGCACTTATCTACATTACCACACTCAATTGCTATGTAGAAAGTAGGGCAACTAATATTGATCTTCAAGAAACTATTCAGTGCCACTGAACGTCAGTGGTTTGTTCCTCTCCTCGGTTACCCTAAAGCAGTTCAATTTCAGTGTGTTTAGCATGGATCTCAACACTTTCTAACTTGAATCAAACATTTTCTGTGCAAAAAGGTGTGAGATACTCAGACTTCAGAATTTTCCAGTTTGTCATTGGGATGTCGTTCTTTGGTTATTTCATTTTTGCAATTATTATTTTTAAAAAATCCATGTTTTGCACACAGTGAGTGAGTTTATGAAGTTTTGCATGTTTTCAATCTTACAAAAAAATTACACAAAAAGTGTTTGGTTCTTGCTGCTAATGAAAAAATGTGCGAGTTTTCATGCTGTTCTACAAAAATGAAAAAAGTCTCATGATTTCTTTTTCACTAGGGTAACACTCCTTTTCCACAAAAATGAGAAAATATTATTTCCATCCCTAGTTGTCAGAAGACAGCAGGCATGGTTTAGTAGTCTGAACAGTGGGCTATCACTCTGGAGACCATGGGTTCAAATCCCCACTGAGGCATGAAACCCCACTGGTGATCTTTCACATGTCACACTCTCTTAGCCTCAGTGAAAAGCTAATAAACTTTACCAACCTCGCTCATAAACCTTACCAAAAACAACTCTTCATAATAAGTCAAAAAGATTTGAAGGCACATAAGAACAAGGTTGTCAGAAGGAATGATCTTGGAAGTCAATGAATGTGCCACATACCTTAATTATTAAACAATAAAACACAGGGCAGGAAGAAAATGTTATGGTCACTCAAACAAATGGACAAAAGCAAGTATATGAACTCTATGCAGTGTTTGTCAAGACAGAATACTCAATACTAAACTCAAACTTACTTTGACAAATTCTTAGATACTAATACATTGAAATTTTACTCCCCTTCCCCCAACTATAGTATCTCAGCTCATTAATAGAGTCATTTTCTATTTCAGTAATCACAGAAGTCATAAAATCTGCAAAGATTTCAAAACAAACATTTCAACATAGCTTCTTGTTCCACATCAAAGCCTTTTAACCTCATGACTACCTCTCTCTTTAGGAAATAATGAAGGGCAGTTTTACATATTTGTTGTACATATTTGTTTTCCCTGCATGGCAAGACCAGATGGCCTTTGTGGTCTCTTCCTACTCTGATTCTATGATTTTGTGTGCTCATAACATCTCCACGTAGAGTACTCCAAATGTAATACTCTCTTCAGCAATTTTATTTTCTTAGGGTCTGTTTCTCTTCCATACCATAATTAAAGTACTTTATAAGTCTGAGGATATTTTCCCCTATCCAAACTATCATCTGAAGTAAAAGAGCAGCACAGTCTTGATATGTGTTATTTTCTAGCACTCAGGATTGTAGAGTTCCTCTTCCTATTTTAATTGTTCTTATCGTGGGAGCAAAGATATCCTCTCTGCTTGATGGGAACTAGAATATATTTGCAAAGTTTATCAGGCTGATAAGATTACCACTCAGTATATTCAAAGAGTTAGGAAGCTACTCATCCATGGAATCCACACCCAAAGCTGTAACCTGGAGATATATACATATATCTACTGGATATTACTACTGACTGTAATGTCACTTTTGACATGAGTCAGAAATTTGAACCATTCTGGTTTTCACAGTCATCAGGTTTTTCTACTTCCTTGAAAATTGCCCAGCTCTCAGTGCTCCAGTAAAAGGGAAACTATGTATATTCCTTTTTTAGTAGTTCCAGGTTGGGACAGTTTGCTGGTAGGTCAATATACTGTACCAAAACATGTCAGTTGTATTCTATAAAGTCCATGGACATTTGCAGTAATTTCTTTGGAATTCTATGAAAAGTTCTTTCCCACCCCATTTGCCTTCTTTGTTACTCATTGTCTTATATTAATTACAGTGCATTGTGGCCATTCAATTTTATTATCTTAGTAGTCTAATTTATAATTGATGGTAGGGGTTTATCTAGAGTCAGCCTGGAAGCTAAGGGGAAGCTCCTCCTCTTGGTTCAATTTGCAAAAGGGCTGTGCCTGGTAACCAAGAGGAGGCGCTTTCTCTGAATTACAGATCGTCCCTTCCGAGAATCTCTGTAAATGGGAATTCACGGTAAGTGCAGATGTTTCCTTTTCTCCACATGATAAAAAAAACCTTTAACTTAAGTTTCAGGTTAATGGCATGGTTAAAAATGAAATGTAATGGATGCTTTTCATATGCTCTGTTTTCTTGTGTATTCAGTGCTACATGCCTATCCAAGGATCAAAAATGTTGCTGCTGCTGAGACCTCTGCCAATCTGACTTGGGAATATGAGGGTCCAGTTCATGAGAACATTTATATTGAATATGGTGTGACAAGCAGTAAGAAGAAATTTCACTGAATTCTTCTAAATACTCTAATATATTTTTAAATATTGTAATAATAATAAGCAGTCCAATGTTGACATTATTCAAAAAACATTTTTTAATAAGGACAACATTTTTTTAAAAATGAATCACTAGGTCATACAGCTTTTTCTTGCATTTTTTTAAGTTAGGTTTTCCACAATTACAATAAAAAAAGAGAGAGGACGACGCGGGAAAGTGGGGGGAGGAATGGTTTACATAAACATTAGGATGGGGATAAGGAATGGGGGAGAAGGTAGGGAAGGGGTTAATACTACTTAATACTTGCATTAATACTACTTCATAGTCTAAAATAGGGATGGAATTTTTTTCAAAAATGTTTGAAAAAGGTAGGTTTTGTCAATGATAATATGAATTCTGGATTCATATTCTTTATTTGCACAAATTCTAATCTTCACATATGAGGACTTATTGTGCACAAAATTTGTATATTGTTGTTTTGGACTGGAAACAGCATTTTCTTGCACATAAAAGCTATAATTGGGGATTCAGTCTCTGCACAATAATTTTCAGAAATACTATTATTTTACTTTATTTTTTAATTTTTCTTGTTGAAAACACTGTTATCTATGCAAAAACACTCATGTTTGATTTTGGTCATAATAAGACCTGAATTGCAATTAGGCTTTGAAAAATATGTGGCTTTCAAAGACTTTCTCAATTCTACATATGATGTGTTCCTTTCTCAACAAGAAAATTAGTGAAAAATTCCATCCATAGTCTAAAATAGTTATTTTAATTTCCATATAGTACCTTAAGATGTGATATTGATCGCATCCTGTTACTGCATGCATACTACTAGTAATGTCTCATTTGAAGGAGTACACATGAAAAATCTGTATGTGTGGACACAGCCTTTTTAAAAGAGATTAAATACCCACTGATTTTTCTTGGCTGAGGAAGAAATAGCAGGATTGAATCAATCTATCAAAAGAAGCAGATCAGACTAATTTTTGCCCTAGTTTTGAATGGCACACAAACTTCCTCAGCTGTTAGACTGGCAAATGGAAGAGCTAATACTGCCCCTATTGAAACCATTTCACCTGAAAACCTACAAAACATAATGTCTCTTAAAATATACTTTAGATCAGGACTTCTTAATTTTTTCCATTCGGGACCCCTTTCAGCCCAATATTTTTTTACCCAACCCCAGATATATAAAATAGGTATAAACTCGAAGATTTGCTCATAAAAAAATCACCATTTGCAAGGCTTCCCTAAACATGCTGATATTTATTTTTATGAAGTACAGCTAAAGAATCTTCTGCAGAGACCACTGTAAGCAATGCACAACAGATTTGTATAAATGTCTATAACAGTCACAAGATGGTGTCCAGAAGTGTTTTACTGTTGCAATTTTTGGGATCCCCAACATTGAGCTAATGGGACCCCATTTGGGGTTGCGAACCATGGTTTAAGAAGAAATGCTTTAGACTATTGTACATTGGAAATTCAGTTATTAATGCCAAATATAATTAACCTATTGCATCAAAGATATTGGATAGATGCTAATTTTCTATTCTAGGGTGGGTCTACTATGGTTAGGTATTTTTATACCATCAGATTTATTGGTGATAACTTTATTCAAATTGAAAGCAGAATTCCTTCAGTTTTGATATTTTCTTTATAGTAGAAGTTTCTATTTGTTTAACTCACACAAGATCTGCAATTATAGCACTGCTAGCCCCCAGTCATAGAGCCCCTGGTGGCACAGCAGGTTAAACCCCTGATCTGCTGAACTTGCTGACCGAAAGGTTGGTAGTTCTAATCCGAGGAGCGGGGTGAGCTCCCACAATTAGCCCCAGCTTCTGCCAACCTGGCAGTTTGAAAACATGCAAGTGTGAGTAGATCAACAGGCACTGCTCCAGTGTCGCTCCATGCAGTCATTCCAGCCACATGACCTTGGAGGCATCTATGGACAATACTGGCTCTTCGGCTTGGAAATGGAGATAAGCATTACCCCCAGAGTCGGACACGACTATACTTAATGTCAAGGGGAAATCTGTACCTTATTTTATCCCCCAGCCAAATCTAACTTTGAAGTAATTACGTGTAGCATTGCATTCCAGTGGTAATATAAAAAAAAGGTGTTTCGGCAGAAAAGTACAGTTGGTTAATTGAGTCACATGACCTTCTTTTGTAAGTGAGTGGTTTCATTTTGTTTGATTAATAGTGAAAAAATAAAGGTATAAAGAAAATATTCCATCAATAGAAAATACAATCATCAATTGATAGGGTTACTTGGAAATTACTTTCCAAGAAACAAAATGATGATCCATCTTTTGAACAGTTGTCACCCCAATTGTAAATAAGTTGGTATTTCACATCAGATGAAGAATAAGATAGTAGTTAACTTGTACTATCAAGATATTGCATATTAAGAAACTATAGTGAAGTTTTTTTAAACTCAAAAGAAGTCTATACTTTCAAACACAAATGTCAGTGAAAAATGCTAACTTGAATTTAAGAGTGAATTCAAATACTCCAATATGTTGTGTTCCTAAAAATTTTATAGGCAAAGAAGAATTGAAAAAAGAACATGTTAATGGTTCCCGGAACTTCTTTATGTTAAAAGGATTAACACCAGGAACATCATATAAAGTCCGGGTTGGTGCTGAGGGTCTTTCTGGTGTTAAAAGTTCAGAGACTGTGTTTGAGACAGGTCCAGGTGAGGCACACCATGCCAGTTCTGCCTTGCATACAGAATTGTAATGTGTTAAGTGCTGAATCTTTGATCTGATGCTGTGTTGGGTCACAATATTCTCATTTCTTCTCTGCATCATAAAATAGAGCTAAAATGAGTGTCTTCATAGTCACACCAACACATCTTTAGTATGCTCCATGTGATTATCTTCTGGTCAGTTTTCTTTGTCTCTTTGCCATTTGTTGTAAAAAATATACTTTTCTCATGCCTGCTTTTGTTGGGTTCTCTTGATAACGTTTTGTTTTACATTCTTTGCTCAATGTAACAAAGAATAGTTTTAGAGAGCAGTCTTAATTCTGACTGAATTCTTAAAGGTGTCTTCTTAAAGATCACCTATCGTTGGGCCAAAAATGCCACAGAAGTAAAATGCCAACAGGTCACAGAAGAATTGCCTTACCATGTTAGGAGGTAATAGAAACTGGAAGGTGAAAAGGAGTCAGTGGAAAATCTTTGCTCCCTTCTTCTATTGGATATCTGTTTCCTTTGCCGGTGAGAGGAGAACAGCTGTTCTCTGGATCAAGAGTTGTAGTCATCACCACTAGTATTGAAAAGTAAATAACTGAGATGGAGAGATGATCCTAGCACAAACTTTCTTCTTGTCCTACCTCACATGTTAGTATTTCTGGTTGCATTGAATTATAACTTGGAAAAGTTGTACCCAAGCTACATTTTAAAAAATCCTCAAATTAGTATGATGTGTGTAGTTAAAAATATCTGCACAAATTGTTTCTGGGAAAAGAAGCAAGTAACACAATTTCTGGGTTAGAGGTGGTAATGTTTTGTTATTTTTTAAATTATAACTTTATAGAAAACATTAAAACTTGCTTATAGTTGACTTAAAATATTAAGTGTGTGGATGATTCTTAAAAAAATAAGTAGATACAATAAAGTAACATGCTCTCGATACTATATTGTGAACTGAATGTTCAAATGTTATATACACCATATAGTATTTTTTCAAGTGCATTTTTGTTCAAGATCTAGCTGCTTGTGCCATCTAGAGTAGAAGCACTGAATCACTTGAGATTTATGTATCAGTGTTCAGCTAATTGTTCAGTGAGTCAGTGCAGTTAGATTTTGGTCTGTAGTATTCATAACTTTCTATATAGTAGTAAAATAAAATCTAGGTCACAGCAAAATACCTTTTGTATGCAACTTACTGCAAAAGTCAATTACACCCCCCCCCCGCCCCCGCCCGTGTTATGACAGAGATGGTGCACATCTGACATTGGGCATCACATTTCTACAAAATACCTAGTTGTACCAAAATAATCCAAAACCAGGTAGCTTTCCCAGAACTCATGGTGCCAGAGTAACCAGTAGATTAAATATGGGACCCTTCCTGGGAAAAAAAGGTTGTATAGGCTGTAAGTGATATAGTCAACACTATGGGACATGCAGCACAAGTTCAACATGGCTGGATATGTTATTTAATAGTGCTCCATTTATAATTCTTGGTGTCTTTTTACGAAATCAAGATGAAGAAGAGTGGAGAAATTGTTTAGTTTTTTTATGTCTCTAAATTAGTAAATTAAAAAAAGGCAAACAGGAAATATAGTGGGTAGTCAAGTTGTGTGTGGCTCTGGGCTATTGAAAGTGCTCAGAACATTTTTTTCTGAGATTTTTGACTTTATTTTTCTGGGAAAGCCAGAAAACCAACCTATACAAAAGCAAATGTACAGAATGTTGGTAAGATTGCTGTGTGTCTCAAATTAACAACTGAATTATTGATTTGGGATATTAGACTGAATCTATAGTGTTCCTTCTGTGAGCAGAAGGACTGAAAGTCAACTTTTTTCTGTGTCAGGAGTGACTTGAGAAACTGCAAGTTGCTTCTGGTGTGAGAGAATTGGCTTTCTGCAAGGATGTTGCCCAAGAACAACTGAAGCTCCTGCTGTCAATCGAGAGACAATTTCCCCCAATACTCCATGGCCCATCACCACTTCCCACTCTGTTATGGAACCCTTTAAACTAACATTTAAGAGCATGGAGAATAGCATAGGATTTTTTAAAAAATTGTTATATTCCATCTTCCCAAGAGAGTTTTTTTTTTCAAGAGAGCATTACTATAGCCTTAGATTCAGTTTCACAATACATGTGGCATCTAAAAAGACTTCTATCCAATATTTTCATTCATTCATTGTAAATGCAGAGACGGAGTCATATGATTCACCTTTGCTAGCAGCTTCAGTATTCACAAGAGAGAAAATGTTATCTTCTCAAAACAAATAATTTGTATTGTACAATAAAATTAAGGTAATTAAAAAAAACAAGATTTAGGAACCTATACTACTTTGCAGAATATATAGTAATCCAAATTCCAGAAGCTGCATTCGTAAGTGAATTACTTTGCTTTATATATATTTAATATGTGTTATGCATGGATTGTTTTACTTTGTTGGCATGAGATTTCATAATTCACTTGAATGTTAAATGTCTGTGTGTCTTCCTATAATGTTTGACACTAAATTTTTAATTACTTATAACTGCATGTTTGCAAAAAAAGATCCACCCTGTTTTCTCTAACCCATCAAGAAAATAAAAGTTGCTGGTTATTTAGGAGAATACAGAACATATACGTAATTAATGAATTGTTATTTATGTCATTATTTATGTTTGTCTTTAAGGTTCAGTTTGGGGATTTTATATAAAAGGGGGGTACATGCCTCGGAATCATATGTTATCTTTATTGGAAAACACGGTAATGTCTGAGGAAGTAATAAATTGTTGTTCTGTTTTCTTCATACAAAAAGAAGTCATATAGGCACACCAGATGCCTGAGTACAACACCAACTGACTGATTTTATATGAGCAAGTGTGACTAGCTCATCTAATTGTATAATTTAATTGATACTAAACTTCCTTTCAAATGTGTTCCTGCTTTTGTTCTATTAAGCTTTCTTTCTATACATATGTATGGACCGAAGTAACCTCCCCTGAATTTTGTATTACTGAAATATCAGTCACTACCACCTACATGCTTGGATATCTATTAACTAGTCTAGAATCCAATAAAAGGAAAAAGTTCTACAATTTTTATATTTTGCAAATGCTAAATCATGTCTAAAATTCAATAATATGAAGAACTTTGTTCAAAATCCTTTTGAAAAGCAAATACTCTTAGACATTACATCTTTATCATGAAATTATCTGTAATAGTGGTGAAAATCATTGAATAATGAATTGGTATGAATAAAATGTTTCTAATTCAATGGATAGATATTTTGTATAAGAAGCAATAACTAATAATTCTTATTTTCCATTTCCTAGCAAAGGCAAGTCGGCAAGTGGACATTGCTACTCAAGGATGGTTCATTGGTCTTATGTGTGCAGTTGCTCTTCTCATCTTGATTTTGCTGATTGTTTGTTTCATACGGAGGAATAAAGGAGGAAAGTATCCGGGTGAGCAACAGCCTTGGAAGTCCAGGCAGATCATCAAACCTTTTATAGAAACATCCAGCCACACCTTCATGGAGACATTTTGCATTAGTAATGACCCATTTCTGTTAGCTGCTGTAAAGAAATGTGAAAGTTAACATACAAAGATTTCTCTTTTTAAAAGATGTTATCTTACCTTTTTATTGGTTGAGTTTCCACAACGCATGAACAACTTAAAACATATGAGCATTATTCTCTACAATATGTTCTGTCAGATCACAATTAATCGCAGTATTTGCAGCACTCAGAGGCAAGGTGGGCAGAGTGTCCAATAAATCCTGGAGATACTAATTTTGAAATAGAAGGTTTGTTGATTGTAGCTGAATGTATGGGACCAGATACCAATATCAAGAATCAGAGTGTAATTCATGGTAGATCACTGCGCTACCAGCCTGACTGCTGGAGGGAGCTAGGATGACAGAATCCAGGATTCCACCTGGACATAAGCCACTGTATGATGCTTCTGCCACCTGATACTGTACTGCCCCCTCCCTTCCCATCATCCCATCATCATCATCTGAAGTCTTTTTAAAAGGGCCTCATTTTCCATGGTACTCAAGCCAAAACATTACTTAATCCTGTCCTGTATCATCACCAAAGTCATGACAAATGATTAGAGGTACAGTCATAATATCTACTGGAGTTTTTTAGATGCTGTGTGCCACTTTGAATCCCATGATGGGAGAAAGGCAGGATAATAAATAAATAAACTGTCCTTAATCCAGCCCACAATCCATACTGGCCGGGGTTGGGAGTGGGGTACTCTAATGCCAGTGTACGGAGTTGATCCAGAACAAATGGTTTTAAGCTGGTCTAGTCGAACTGACTGAAAAGTTCCTCAGTCAGGTTGATCTCCCAAGCCACACCTCTGTGATCTGCCAATCTGGGTCCTGGTTGGCTGTTACATCTAACCATATCATGAGCCCCTCTGGGATGAAGAAACTGGCATCCAGCACCATTTCCCCCATTGTGCACTCCTGCTCTTACAGAAACTTGGGAACAAACAGAGCAGCTATTGAATATGGTTTCCATTATTGTTGGGTTGCTCCAGACATAGGCATGCTTAAAATAAACCTACTGGAATCAATAATTGAAGTTAGTTATCATTACATTAAATATCACTGATTTCATTAGGTCCACTGCAAGTATGTCCAGGTCTAGATGCTAAACATCTATTAAGTTTTACTTAAATATTAATTTGTCTGTTTAAGTGAAAGAGAAGGAAGATGCTCATGGCGATCCAGAAATTCAGCCTATGAAAGAAGATGATGGAACACTTGGCGAATACAGGTAAACAACTATATTTATACTTATTGGTCAGATCAGCATGGAGTTGAAATAGACTGTTGTTGTGCCCCGTTTAGAAATATTAACTATTAAGTCAGGCAATAGTATCAGAAACTTAGCTTCATCAAACATGATGACACATAAAAATTAAAGACATTATATTGCTATTGTGGGCAAATATATTGATATAGGAACATGTATAGCTGCCATAGATTCTTAGTTATAAACTCTGTTCAGATATTTTAAAATTCATTTTATGGAAGAGGATAAGGGTGCATACTTTAGCACCACCCCTTTGCTCACAGCCTTCTCATGTTGTTTTTGGAGATCTGAAGTTAAACTGTAAACATGTTCAGATATATATATATATATATATATATATATATATATATATATATATATTCAGCTAAGTAAAAAAACCTAAATTATTCAACTTTATCCATTTAAATGCACTTATAGTTCTGTTGTAGGTTGTCTCCATTATCAAAACAACTTTGTGGATAGAGGAGCTGGGCATGGAATACAACTTCCCCACAACACCCAAAGAGTAGAATTTTGTAACATAGGGCTTTGTGGCAACATACCTAGAAAGATAATCCATCTTTCATTAATTTGTAAGAATTATTCTGTGCATGAATTAGATGAAGCAAAGCACAACACAACTGAAGTCACAGAACAACACATTCTTTGCTATAGAAATGTGAACAGGCTTGTTCCCACACAGCTGCTAAATAGCTTTCTGATTGAACAATCCTCTAAATATTTACTCAGAAAGGTAGTTTTCAGTTTATTGGAACTTGCCCTTAGGTAAGTAAACAAGGATTGGCGCCTAGGTGGGGTATATTAGATCTATATGTTATGGTCAACCAATGTAAAAATAGATCCAAATTGCAGTATTGACATCTCAATACTTAAACAAATTTGGATTTGGAGTTTGCTTCATTCATATCACAAATATATGTGCTTCTAATTTTTTATTGTAATTATGAGATTATGCATGTGTTTTTGTTCCAGTTATACTTTAATCTTACTGCCTTACTCCATTCAAAAGAGAAGTAAAGCAGAATGTATAAGTGTCCTGAGTTAAATCCAGGCTCTTTGTGTGTGTGCGTGTACAGACTGCAGTGATGCTCAGGTTTTTCTTTTTCTTTTTTTCTTTTTTCTTTTATTTTGCCTTGGTAGCATTATCATCAGATCTAGGCAAAATCTTGGCATCTTGCTTAATTGTAGAATTTTTTAAAAAAAATTAACTGATATAGATGCATGTCATCGTTCATGAAATAAGAAGTAATATGACCTAATATTAGCCGTGATTTGTTATTGTCAGTTAACCATTTTTTAAAAACCAACAAAAATTAGCTTGCTTTACAAAACCCCAAATACTTAATGTTTAAGCTAGTGAATGTATAGAAGTAGGCATGTAATGTAATTTAAATTAACTTTTGTTTGTTTGAAGCCATTGTGTTGACATGAAACAAGAAAGTGCTTTTTTCTTGAAAGATGAGTGCTGTGTGTTTTGTTTTTATGTTGCTTTATATATTAATATATATTTATTTCAATGTGGTGTGCTTTTAAAGACTTTATTTTTCTAATTTGTAATATATAAAATGTTCATATTTTATTTCAGTGCAATTATTTGTATATTGTACAATTCTGAATGCCTTGGCATAGCTCCAGCATTTGGTTAACCTTTCTATTTTATTGTTGTTGTAAAACATTAATAATTATGCAAGCTATGTATGAGCTAATACCATTGACCTAGAGCAATCAAGTAGTGACAGAACTATTCAAAAAAAATTATTCAAAAGCAACCTCTACCTGTTATACCTTTTTGTTCCTGACTGTTATCCAAAAATTATGGTATGCCAATCCTTTAGTGATATGTGTGGGCTGTATGATTTAGATTTAGATGCAATTGTCAGTTCATATGGGATCTAACACAGGATTTTTGTATACGTCTTGAGCAAACTAGCATGTCAATTTGTGAAATCACCTATTCCATTGTCAGTTGATTTGTCTAAAGTGTATAATTGCATGAACCTGAATACCTGATGTATTATTTAAAAATCACACATCTAATCCATTTTTGCTAAAACTTTTGTTTAGACATGTGTTACTCTGCCATTCATCAGATTTAGGATCTGTTTCTTTTCTCTTTAGAGACAGGGCAGATGCAAGCAAATATGTTATTTATAAAATATGAGCTTGTGCCTTCTGTGCAGTTTACCATTGCTACAGTCAATCAGTTCTGTGCTTCATATTCTCACAGGAAATTTTAAACTATGATAAAGTATGTTTTTGAGAGAAACTTGTTTTCTCCATTTTTCCCAAAAGAATTTGAGCATTTTGAACTTTTTTCCATTACTTCAGGTCCATGTCAACAAATTTCCTGAAACAGATCCCGCCTTTACCAAAACAGTGTCTATGTGGTCTGAGAGAACGAATTTTTCCAGAAGGTCAGGAGATAAATCCTTCAGCATCTCATCAAAAACCTCTTATAGGAAAGTCAGGCAGTCTGCAGAGCATTTAAAGGTTAAATCCTTTCCCCCTTTGCTCTGTCATAGAAAAAATATGTCAACTGAATGGCAATCTGAGGGTGTTTCTAGGCATGGCACTCTACAACAACAAATAGCTGAATGGGATGAAGGGTCAGATTCTCAGGTAGGAGAGCATTCCCCATATCACCAAATGTCCATCAACCCCCCCCCCCCCCCCCCCCCCCCCCCCCATCCTCCCTACAACGGAGGTGCAACCATACAGTAGACCTCAGCCCAGATTCAGAAGACAACCACAGATCCCATATTAAGAAGATAAGACCTTCTGCTGCTGTTAGTACTACTGGTTGCCCAAACTCTGTCAAACGTTTGCTAATAAGGTCTGTTGCGTTGCCTAGAATTATTACAGTTGCGAAGGATGTGAACAACAGTAATGTGGCTTCCACAGAACAAAATGGACCTTCTCCAGTAATAAATTCTGAGTCATTAGTGACACTGAAGTTTTCCCTGAAATAACTAGGCATCAGTCACAAATGCCAGTATCTCACGCAATCAATATTTTAAAAGAACTTGGAGTTCCTGCTGGAAAAAAATCCACGTTTCAGAAAGATTTGGTAAATGAAATACCTTCTGAAGATGGTGAAATATCATTTGATTTGCCATTAGAAATAGGGGAGGATGGTGAGTTTGTATGTAAATTTAAAATGCAGAATCAAAATTACTTATTTGGGCATATTAAAAAAGAACTAAGGTTAAAACGAAATAAATGCAGGCAGTCTTCAGATGAGGACAAAATAGCTTGCATCCTTCCTGTCCATTTAGCAGTAAAAAAGGCTAGTCCATAGGATCTGGAAGAAGCCCAATGTAAAACATGTAGCTCCAGCAATCATGCACAAACTCTATCCTCCTCTAGTTGATGAAACTTTACTATGGAGGACTTTACCCAAAGCAGATACTGCACTTGTAATGGGAAATGCTAAATCATGCAGCTGTGGCCTTGATGGTTCTTCCCTCAATGATCCAATTGATAGAAAATGTTAGGCTACAATCAAGAGATCATATTGTTTAGCTGCAACCCAGCTTAGAATCTCCCTTTATACTGCATATGCTGCTAATGCTTTATTAGGCTGCCTGGAAAAGGAGAAAGTAGTAAGAAGCGATACAATGAGCTCATCTTCAAGCAAGAGGAGGACACACAGTCTATGTAGAACTGCAGCTAATTTTATCTATGATGCAGTCCAGGACTTTCTCAGTCTCACAGTTAAAAACATAGCAAGTCTCTCAGAAGCAAGGCAAGCTGTTCGGTTACGTAGTTGGCCATTAAACCTAGACATGAAACATAAACTGTTATCCTTGCCTTATTCTGGCAAGACTTTATTCGGGAACTGTGTGGAAGAAGTTTTAAAGGATTTGGTCCATAAGAAATCATCCTATCAGTGGAAAAGAAAAAAACACTATTCAAGTTCCTTACTTTGCTATCCCCATAGATATCGCATTTCACATAAATTTTCATGTAGAGATAGAGATTTAAGGTCCTTGTACCATATGAAAAGGTGTGGCATTCAAAGAAATCACAAATGTCCCAAGAGGAGACTTCTGACTTAAATCTTTTCAGAAAGCAAAATGGCTACCATGCTCTTTCATACCTTCAATAGTGAAAACTGGATTGTAAGTAACACAAGAACCTAGATGGTTGTCTTTCACTTCTGCATTACTAATAATAAGGGTTAATTTTGGGTCATCTGGACCTAACTGTGAAAAAATTGCTTCAGTTAAAAAATGTGTAGGACAACTCTTTTTAAAGATGCACCCTAAAATTCAGGAAATATTTGTGGACTAGGGAAAATATATCTTGTGTTTTAAAAATGCAGAGATTTGTTAGTCCTAGTTGAGACTGAGTGCCATAGAATGGGCCCAGTGGGCCTTTCTTATTTATGCCTTCTGACCCATTAATCTAGAATGTACTTTCCATTCCACTGCAATGGGCAGTCACTGCTTTCTAGTTTCAGTGGGAAAATGATACATTTTGTCAACTGAATGTATTACTATTGAATTGTTTTCCATGTCATGCAGGGAGAATGTATTGGGTTTTATGTATTGTCGAAGGCTTTCATGGCCGGAATCACTGGGTTGTTGTAGGTTTTTTCGGGCTATATGGCCATGTTCTAAAGGCATTCTCCTGACGTTTCGCCTGCATCTATGGCAAGCATCCTCAGAGGTAGGGAGGATACCTCTAAGGATGCTTGCCATAGATGCAGGCGAAACGTCAGGAGAGAATGCCTTTAGAACATGGCCATATAGCCTGAAAAAACCTACAACCCAGTATTGGGTTTTGTTGGTGACTGCACTGTTTAGTGGATACATACACACAGGCACACACACAGACACAGTTCTACATTTTGTTTGATCTTTGCATCTGTCTGCCCCTGAAGTAAAAAAGATGATTAGCAGGGAATAAACTGTAATTGAAAGATGTAGTGGAGTTTACTGTGAATGAGTAAAACCGTT